ACTTGTAGATGATTTAAAAAAAAAAGTTTGGTCAATTTGAAGCAAGTTGAAATTTAGTCTTGAAAAGTTTGGAAATTTGACCTTTTTTCAGTTTTTGAGTCCTAATATCTCAAAACTGGTACACAATTTTAATAAATAGTCAATTGCTAATATGTGTAGAAACTATAGAGGAATATATATCCTGACTGTCATGAAAAAATATTGATTTGTAGTCACCAAAACTTAGAAACTTCGAAAACACAGTTGGTGATTTAATTTGATGACCTTGACCTTTGATCTTGCAAATTTTACTGTAATTCACCTCAGTAGCTCTTTTGTGATCAAATATATCTAAATTTGAATCCAGAAAATCGATTTAAAAAATCAACTTTTTTTCCCTTCCGAAGGTCACTGAAGGTCAACCAAAGGTCAGGGGTCAAAAGTAAGGTCAGATTTGGATTCCTGAGATCCTGTAGATGCTTTTTAAAAAAAAGTTTGGTCAATTTAGAGCAAGTTGAAATTTAGTCTTGCAAAGTTTCGAAATTTGACCTTTTTTCAGTTTTTGAGTTCTAATATCTCAAAACTGGTACACAATTTTAATAAATAGTCAATTGCTAATATGTGTAGAACCTATAGAGGAATATATATTCTGACTTTCATTTAAAAATATTGATTTGTAGTCTCCAATTTTGAGAAACTTAGAAAACACAGTTTGTGTTTTCATTTGATGACCTTGACCTTTGACCTTGCAAATTTTACTTTTTTAGACCTCAGAAGGTCTTTTGTGAATAAATATACCTAAATTTGAATCCAGAAAATCGATTTGAAAAATCAATTTTTTTTACCTTTCGGAGGTCACTGAAGGTCAAATAAAGGTCAAAGGTCAAAAGTAAGGTTAGATTTGGAATCCTGAGAACTTGTAGATGAGTTTTAAAAAAAAAATTGGTCAATTTGAAGCAAGTTGAAATTTAGTCTTGAAAAGTTTCGAAATTTGACCTTTTTTCAGTTTTTGAGTTCCAATATCTCAAAACTGGTACACAATTTTAATAAATAGTCAATTGCTAATATGTGTAGAACCTATAGAGGAATATATATCCTGACTTTCATGAAAAAATATTGATTTTTAGTCTCCAATTTTGAGAAACTTAGAAAACACAGTTTGTGATTTAGTTTGATGACCTTGACCTTTGACCTTGCAAATTTAACTTTTTTCGACCTCAGTGGGTCCTTTGTGAATAAATATACCTAAATTTGAATCCAGAAAATCGATTTGAAAAATCAATTTTTTTACCTTTCGGAGGTCACTGAAGGTCAAATAAAGGTCAAAGGTCAAAAGTAAGGTTAGATTTGGAATCCTGAGAACTTGTAGATGAGTTTTAAAAAAAAAATTGGTCAATTTGAAGCAAGTTGAAATTTAGTCTTGAAAAGTTTCGAAATTTGACCTTTTTTCAGTTTTTGAGTTCCAATATCTCAAAACTGGTACACAATTTTAATAAATAGTCAATTGCTAATATGTGTAGAACCTATAGAGGAATATATATCCTGACTTTCATGAAAAAATATTGATTTTTAGTCTCCAATTTTGAGAAACTTAGAAAACACAGTTTGTGATTTAGTTTGATGACCTTGACCTTTGACCTTGCAAATTTTACTTTTTTAGACCTCAGTGGGTCCTTTGTGATCAAATAAACCTAAATTTGAATCCAGAAAATCAATTTGAAAAAACGACTTTTTTTACCTTTCGAAGGTCACCGAAGGTCAACCAAAGGTCAGAAGTCAAAAGTAAGGACATATTTGAGTTCCTGAGATCTTGTAGATGATTTAAAAAAAAAAATCTGGTTCATTTGAAGCAAGTTGAAAAATGACCGATTTTTGCCGATTTTTGGCGTCAAATATCTCAAAAATGGTAAAAAATTAACGCGTACATATAGTGAGCAATTTGTATAGAATGCTTATATCTAGTTACATTTTAATTCATCGCAAGAAATAATGAAGTATGAGGACGAAATCTGAGAAACTTAAAAAAAACTTTGATTTGACCTAGATTTTGACCTTTGACCTTGACCTAGATAAAAATTCCTTTCCCGGTAAGTTCAACCTAGTACCCTAGTAGGTTCATATAGTAGATAGTTGAAATCTAGTTAGAAGTAGGAGAAAAAGTGCAGAGAAGAATAAAGAATAAGAATAAAGAATAAAGAATAAAGAATAAATAATATCTATAAAATCTATAGGAGGCCCCCTGTCGGGGGGCCTCCTAATAAGCAATAATGACCTGGGTGTATGTTTGTGTAATGATGGTATGTAAAAAGAGAGTGACTGATTATCAACATACATGTAACAAGCCATGTTTTTAAATATATTTTGTGACATTTTGTATCATGTGGCTGTTTTCTGTAGATAATGAATATAGTGCTACATATAAGTTTGTGTGTCACATGTATGTTTGTATGCTATGTATTGAGACATCTTTATCTGTGTCATGTATGTTTATATTTCATATATTGACACATGTCTATTTGTGTGTGAAGTATTGATTAATGTCTGACAAATTTTTGTATGTCATATACTGACACATTAATGTTTGTGTGTGTGTCATGTGCTGAGTCTGACACATGTATATTTGTGTGTCATATACTGACACATGTTTGTTTTTTGTGTCATTTACTGACACATGCATGTTTGAGTGTCATGTGTTGACACATGTATGTGTGTATATCATAAACTGACACCTGAATACATGATACTCAGACATACATTGAGTTATGACATTTCATTATATAAAAGTTGCATATTGAGTCCAGCTTTCATACTTTTCATTTGAACAATTCCTGGAAATTGTAATGTAAGAATAGTTGAGAATTTGATAGATGCACTGTGCATTTATTAGAGAGAATACAGCAGATCCTGTTTAGGTGTAGATGTACTTACCAAATGTGTCCAGTATATCTGTGATGAGAACAAACTTGCTTGGGTAGAACTGTATAACACTTGTGTCCGCTAAAAGTTTAGCACACTGGAATACAAACAATAGGAAGATAAAGAAAAAAAAATTCTGTGCAGGGTTTGCAAATTACTTAAGATCGAAAGAATGTCAAAGATAAATTATAATTTGACACTGTATACTGTAGTTTACATAAAATGTTGTTTGTCATTATACCTGTATAGCAATTTTTAGCGCCTTTACTCTCTGATCCGCATCCCATGCTGTTATAAGAGCCTGGTTGAGTTCCTCTATTCTGTTAACATAGTCCTGCTGGCTGAGGTTCAACATCTCTTTCACAGACCCCTGCAATACAACAGTTGAACCTGTAGCTACTACTTGTAATTATTAATTTTTCCACAAATGTCACAACAGAATCTGAAATTCCTGTATGTCCTAAGATGCATTAGTTCTCTTCCACATTTCTATTTGAAATATAGACAATTAAAGCATACATCAGAAAGAATTCTACTGATATCTCAATGTCCAAATTGCATAACAATATTATGATAACAGATTACCTCTTCAAAGTCATCAAGCTGTTCTAGTCTGTTCTTCACCTTGTCTGACATAGATGTTGTGCTTTGAGTTTTGATCACCACTGAAGCACAAAGTAAGTAATACAAGTAAGTATACAAGTAGTCAAATATATGTACACTCCTCTGAGGGGGCGAACCCCCCTCCCCCCTGGCCAAAAATTCTTTCAAAATCATGCAGTTTTTTACGCTCCTGAGCATTTTTCACGTGATTTTGGGCCAAATTTGTCAATGTGAGCCCCTATGGAATTTCTCTGAAAAATGAACCCCCCTTGGCAAAAGCTGGCTACGGGCATGTTTACCTTCATTCAACTATATAACATGTTGTATTTGCTCACATCCTCAATTCAATAATGGACTTGTTGAAACCACAGCAATGAAAGGCTAGAAAATAAAATGTTAGTGAATCTGAAAACTAACCTTTTTCCCCTTTGTCTGAGGCAGCCAGAAAACTGGTAGTGATGGACAGCTTCTCAGATGTGGTGTACTTGTTTAGAATCCCAGATCTTTTGACATGCCATGGTTCAAATGTTTCATCAAGGTCATTGTTGCCTGTGTTGCTACGTTTCTGTTTTGAGCCACTCATACTCTACAATCATACCATTATGAGCGTATTACGTCTATCCCTGATTTAACTATCTTTCCATGCTACTCTCAGTCATTAGTAATACCATGCAAACGAACTATTGTTTTTGTTACATGCTTCTTTGAAAATTGAAATCTCACTTAAAACCTCCTTTGAAAGGAATAAACGCATATGAATGGTTTATCACTTAATTTTGATGCATTCTCAATGAACTCTTATATAACTTTCCTTGAAATTGAAATGCATATACATAACTGTATATTCTATTCCTAAGCACATGTGTGATGTCCAACTTACCCTCTCAGGTTTAGATGTGATGGTCATCTCAGCTGCCATAAGAGAGAGGGGGTCACTCTCAGCAGCCATCATGGAGAGGGGGTCCATGCCATCTAGGCCAGTAGAGAGGGGGTCAGTGAGACGACTTGATCCACTCCCTGAGGAGGAGCCACTGCCACTCCTCCCTGCCTTCTTTTGGGGAGTTTTCTGTTCTGATACCTTCACCAATGATAATACAAACAGAAATTATCTAAGATAAAGAATCTGTAAACAAGACAATAGGGTTATCCCACTGAACCAAGTTCAGATAGGGATATGTAGAAGCTGTCATCTGTATGTTTGTATGTTCATGTATAAGATGATAACTCAAAAATTGGTGGTCAGAATCAGTTTATATTCTCAAATTCAATATATGTGTAAAACCTATGTATATACCATTTTAGTACATGTATACACCCCCAATCCGCACTCTGAAATCAAGGTACCGTACAGTACCATATACGGTACCGTACAGTACCGTACAAACGGTACCGTACAGTACATTAAGAGTATGGTACCGTATGGTACTGTATGGTACCGTAGGAGATTGGCTGTGTATCTTGTTCTCAAAATTGGGCCTTTATTCTAAATGGCCATTCAATATAGCTGTCATTTTCCATAATTGAGATTTTTGACCACAGTTTATTCATTATTTGGATGTAGTTTCCATGACTACAGTCTGGTTATTTCTTTCTTGAAATGTTCAAAATGAGGTGTTTTGATGAAATGTGTATTGCTCTGTGGAATTTGCCACTTTACAAATTTGCTGCTTTCCTTGTTTATCCAAGATAAATTGTTGATTGCAAGTTGAAGATGTCTTTGTGTAGTCTCATTAAAACCATTTAGTCTAGTAATACCCCAAAATGAATTAAATTTCCCAAAATGTGAAATGAATCGAAACAATTTAATTGTATATGAGTAGGTCAGTACATATATGTTTGCCAGTCCCAACATTATTAACAATATACTAGTAGCTCTTGTTTCACAATTGTTTACCATTCAATATAAGACTTACAGTGACTGTTATTCCTTTGAGTGGATGAGCAGAAGTTTCTATTCTTTGCAAGCTTTCTTCTTGTCGCTCCTTCTCATACTCCTTAGTTCGTGGACACCTATATGATCAATCACATGTTCAAGTTAGATCTGAGTATATACATTGTAAAAAAAACAATGAGGTCTACTGCATTCTTTTGAACAACCTTGATCAACATTGAAAAGTCCATAGTGCATATCATATACATGTAATGTCAAAAAATACATTTATGCTTTTGTGTACATGCAAAATGTTTGTATATCTTGGACAGCTAATGGTTTGGCTCATAAAACATGTGGCCTTGTGTATTTCGATGCTTCTCTGATGATGATAATGTAGATAACAGATATGTAGATAACAGCAACACCAAAGCATAATAACAAATCCCATTGAACAACCATGGCTGCCATTTGCCATTGTCATTTGAGAGTGTAATATTCTTCTTGAAATACTGGTCGATTTAATAAAGACTTTATAAAGATTGAAGTGTATATATTACTGCAATTTGAGACAGCTGCATCTTTTTGCCATTGGATTGGAATAATGTTTCTGGTGGTGTTTAGAATAGATTGAGGTACTGTTTCACCTTAAGAAAGGCAAGCAGTTCAATGAGAAGAAATAGTTACCTCATGAATAGGATCCTCCCGTGCCTACCAGATGGTTGTACACATTGAGTGAATTGAACCCAATAATTAATTTTGTCAACATAGAACACGAGTAGAGTAATCTAAAGAAATTAGCACGAAATTAGTCTTAGTTATTTTTTAACGTTTCCATTTTCCGTTTCTTTGCGCACATGGTGATGTTGTCTCTATCACCAAATTTATATGATTGTATTGTTAGTCGAGAACTAGGGTAAATTTAAAGAACAAAAATTCCAACTTCACATATGTTCGGTAATATAACGTATCAGAACATCTGGAAATGACAAGCCAAAAAGTATATACATGTATTGGGAATTTTCACATTTCGTTTACATATGTTGGATTCCTATGATCATGGTTAATCGGACGCAAAATTAAGCTGATGGAAGGCAAGGGAGTGTCCCATTCACGATGTACCTGTACCTCTTATTTTTCACATTGAACTGCTTGCCTCTCTTCGGTGAAACAGACCTAAAGAAATATGTGCATTCCTAGCGCTATTTTTTCGACTTTTAAATTCTTATGTGAGCTTATATTGAAACTTCCAAGACAAGAATGGAATCTGACCTAGATATGCCAGAGAGGTTTGGCTGGTAAAGTGGGGGACAAAACTAAACCTCAACCATCAAAAGTTGTCACAATGAGCTAAATTCTAAGTTTCGTGTCTCAAACTCTCCCAAGTGGTAGAAAAATAATTCCCGTTCAAGTAGCACAATAAATGAATCCAAAGCTTCATACCTGCAAACATGGGCTTTCAACTAGAGTTGAAAGCCCATGCTGCAAATCATGGATAAATCCCTACCAAATCGAACGAATGTTTTTATGAATCGCCATGTTTGTGATCAAAGAAGGATTGACTCCCACAATGCAACATCAGTCAACCTTATTTACTCGTGACAGGTTTCAAAATGACGGAGCGGCATTTTGAAAGCTGGCAAGTGTCAGGTTGCATTCTTGGAGCCTATCCTCACTTCCACTATATTTGGACTTACTAGGACGGAGAAAATAGAGCACTGAATACACTGAGGTAAGAATTTATTACATTGCGGTAGCATGTAATTTTCATAGCTATAGCGGGTGCACCCCAGTTGTCCGAAACCCAGTTGTCCGAAACCCAGTTGTCCGAAACCCACTTGTCCGAAACCCATAACTCCGAAAAATATAGTCATAATTTACCAGAGAAAGGGGAGACGTACTAAGCTTAGGCCAGTTTCATGCCATGTATTTGGCCAAATTAATGGCATGGACGCATTCTGATGTTCATAAATCTCTCTCTCTCACTTGCATCCATTACATGGCATTACCAGAATGGCAGGAACGGGGGATTTATTTTACATTGTGATTCTAAAAAAAGGTTATCAAAACACAATATACATTACGGAACAGTTTATCTTATCTTCTTCAATCTCTTTTATATAGGCAAAATAAAATGAATCATTTTGAAACAGATAAAATAAGTTTACGCATATAGTACTTTAAGAATAAAACAGTATACATATTACGTTGTCAAAATATTTCGTCGCATTTAATTTCTTAGTCTCTGTATTTTATCAAATCGTAAAAGAACAAAACATTCTTAACTAATCACTTGGGATGAACTGGAAACGAAGGCAGGCTGTCCTCGTATCAAAATGGATGTTCTCCCATTCGCAAGAAGTTTAATTTTCGCCATGTACTCACTTCATCCTTTTAATTCAATCTCTATTTCTCGAACAGAGTACGTAAATGAAGAATAAGTTTTGGTTTGAAAAGATGTTATGTTCATGTCAACTTTACTAAATAAATGCCCACTGGCTTGGGAAAGCTATTTTTCCTTTTATGAACGCTCATCACCCATTGGAAAAATGTTGTTCCCTCTCAAAAAAGGCCCATGGGCCATAAAGAAAATTGGTTTAAAAATTGTAGACCCCTATCTATGTATGTTGTGTAAACGCCATTTTACAATGAGAATAACATAATTTAACTTTGTTTGTTTGAACATCTATATCACCTATATGAACTTTCGTAGGCTAAACATTAAACAATTAACGTCTTGACTTAGCATATTTAGCCTAATTTTGCAATGATGTCAACGCTATTCCAATGTTATGTTGTGATTCGCAGAGGTTGCGACAACGAGATTCGTTTTAAAAAAATTGTATTTTTCAAATAAGATCCCCTAATTTTCGGAGAACTGGGTTTCGGACAACTGGGTTTCGGACAACTGGGTTTCGGACAACTGGGTTTCGGACAACTGGGTTTCGGACAACTGGGTTTCGGACAACTGGGTTGACCCCGCTATAGCAACAACAAAATGCATCAAAAATTAAAATTAGTGTATCCAAATATGAGTTCCAAAGTTCCATCTAGCCTGTGAAAATAAAGGAAACCTGCTTGTCGGCATCATTGTGATCTATATTTTCCTGGAAGTGACATGATGAACTAAAATTTACCATTTCTATCATTTTCTTCAAAAATGAAGGAAATTCTCAAAGATGAAGTGTGTCAAAGATATGAATTGGATTGTTTAACAATGGATGAGTGAACCCATGTATATATTTGAATATCAAAGGTGGAAAACAATTCCAAATACGCCTGCAATTTGACATTTTAGTTGATAAATATTTTCAAACCTTACCAATCGTAAGCCGCCATTTTGTTCAAGTCACATGACCAGGCAATTCCTTCAGACGATTTTTCTCTATTTTTAGACAGTTTTGTGATTTGAAATTTTCCTGAGTGATACTATGTGATGCTATTTGATGATTCAACATATAGCAGTACAAGTATTACGATGCAAAATTGAAATATTAGCGTTATAAAATATCATTTCCGGTTGACCTAGATCTGGAAAAATGGCGGAAGTGGATCTCAACTTTCTAACTCAGGTTTATGAAATCATCAAAAGGTGAGCTTATTTATCGGTTATAGGTAGAGTCATGTGGACTAATCATTTCTTAATGTCCTCTGAGGTAAATAAGGAAATTTATGCCTATTGAAACATTCATAAAGAAACATATTCAGACGGAATTTGAATGTTTTTTGAGTTTCAAATTTGTATTCATCCTACAATGATCCTTTACTTACAATTTCCTTGACAACTTTGGCCCTTGAAAATTAATATTCACCACGCGTTTACTTACTAGTGTGTGAGCGATAGGTCCTTTGACGGCCTAGGTTGCATGAGACACGGCATTGGTCCGAGTTCCAATGGTCTGAATCCTATACATGTAATGATCAGTATCCCAATGGTCTGAATCCCATTGGTCTGAATCCCAATCTTCCAAACCCCACTCGTCAGAATCCCAATCGTCAGAATCCCAGTCGTCTGAATCATAATCTATACGAATGATGTTTCTCTCTTTAAGTGCAGATTTGTGTAGGGGTAAGGCAAACATGGCCATGTTGCTCATTGTTCCAGCAGTCATTAAACCAAGGCTAAAAACATGTATCATAATATAATCTGAACAGAACTTTCAGAAAGAGAAAATTTGGAACTTTTGGAATGTGTTTTACAGAAAATGAAATTCTGAAAATATCTTAACATGAAGAGGCAGTTATCAGATCAGACAGCCCCAAACTCCCAGAAATGAATTTTCACAACTGATATGAGATATATGTGTTTCAGTTTGGAGCAGGAAAGTCCAGATCAGGCAGGGAAGAAGGTGAATGACTTGAAACAATCTCTAGCCCTCGCTAAGGAACAAGTTGCAAGATTACCAGGTAATGGCACTGCTGAGCAATTCAAATTGGAGTTTCATAGTACAACAATGGCCCTCATTATGACATGTAATGTGCATTTATAAATCCTATTAAACATTCCATGTTAAAATAATGTCAGTTATTTTTTCATCACTTTGCCAGTTGAAATGAAATTCTGTTGAAATCCCTACTTTACTGCTTCATTGTATTTCAGGTTGTGATTATAACAAAGAGGATCAGCTGAAGCAACTGGAAGTTCTCAGAAAACAGCTAGCCACTAAATCAGAATTACTGCACAAATACAAACATCTGTGTAACTTTGACCTTGCAAAGGACACAAAACCTCATCTGTATCAGTGAACACAGCTGACCAACCTGAGTAGATGTAAGTTTGGCAATAGGATATATTGAATCATTTTATTATAGTGCAGCTCAATACAATGGAATGTACAGAGTTACATCCCATATTTAACAAGGACCCTGCAGAGTGGATGCAGTATGTGCATAAAGAGGTGTGTGTGACATCATCAGATGGGGCCTGTCACTATGGCTGGGTCTACACCATTGACCCAGTATCTGAGACCATTGTACTAGCACAGTTTACAGACTCTTCCACAGACATTGCAATGGTCCTTGGGCACTCTGTCAAATCAATCAGGGTTACAAACAGTAACACGGAAACTCACAAAGAGAAACTCAAAACATTATTTCTGTTCAAAAACACTGCAGAGTATTCAAAAGAGGATCTCCAGAAGAGGAAATTTAAGATCAAGTCGTGGCTAGAGAAGAACAGGTTGCCAGTTTGTGTCTCTGGCGATAATAATGATGTGTTGAGTATATCTGATGCATTGTTCATAGAGCCACCATACAGTGTTGATGACTGTAGGAGCACTAATGAGATCATTCTAGGACGTATACAGGGGCTCATCAAGAACATGCCAGAAGATGTTCAACAGTGGTAAACATTGCAATATAAGTGCTGGAGTTAGGGGGACTGTCCTTACGACAAAATGGACTTGATTCTCTAAAATATAGCATATGTTGGGGATCTCTATGATTTTGAGGAAATAAAATGATTTTTATTCAAAAAATAACACATTTTTGTTGCAATATTTGAAATATAGTATTATGCAATCTTTTCAACAAGGCATTAATAACATATTATGAGTTCAATATTGAACTTGTAGATGATTTTGAAAAAATTGGTCAATTTGAAGCAAGTTGAAAAGACCTTTTCTGACCTTGAGAAGGTCATAGAAGCTCAAATCTAGAAGTCAGATTTGAACTGCCGAGAACTTGTAGATGATTTTTCTTAAAAAAGCAAGTCGAAAAATACCTTTTTTGACCTTGAGAAGGTGACCAATTTTTTTTCAAAATAATCTACAAGTTCTCAGAAGTTCAAATCTGACTATAAAGTTGAGATTTGACCTTCAATGACCTTGTCAAGGTCAAAAGGATTAGAAGGAGAAATCTCAAATCTAAAGTCAGATTTGAACTAAAATTGATCAACTTGAAGCAAGTTATTGGAAGTTGTAAGAATTTGTTACACACACCAACCGCCACTGCCGTTCGCTGCCTGCCGATTGCGGTCACAAAAATGGAGACCACAACAATATGTCACCACTTTTTGGTTGTAATGTTTCAAAGGTCCATGTGGAGTATGGCAAGTGATTTTAGACGGTCATATCTTTCACCATGCATACTTTTTGGCCATCAATATAGCAGTATTTATTAAAACAATTGCTGGAATTACACCATGCGTTTTAGAATGGCGCCTAAGGTTTTAACCCGGTTTGAAAAATAGGTGTAATCATGATTGTGGATTTACAAAAGCGCTTTTCCAAAACTCCTAGAACCCAAGTCACTAAAAAATGCCTTAAATCGTTAGGCGCTTTTGGAGTGTAGTGTAATACCGATCAGTTTTTGTAAAATGCCTTATCCGGGTTTTTACCATTTGCCCTAAACGAAATAAGAGGTATTTCGAATGCTACACATTTGGGCCATCGCAAAAATACAGGAAATGATGGATGGGACCCAAAAATGCAATAGGTCATCAAATAATATTGCAAAAATTGAAAGTAAGTTCACATCACTGGCAAAAGTCTCAGTTACGTTTTCTCTTAGATGCTAAAAGAATACATTTATTGTAGATGTACACATCTGCTGGATATTCTCCATATCGACATCGTTTAAAGTGCACGAAAGGCGTTTTAGAAATGACAGGTGTAATTTCAAAATAAAATTCCTAAGGCGCTTTAGAAATGTTGGTGTAATCAGGATTTTGTTAAGTTGTTTCCACTGAAGCGCTTTTGGCATTTTTTCAGGTGTAATTCCAGCAAATATGTTTTCTTTCAAGTGAAGTCCCCATGATAGTAGAATATCAATCTAACTCTCTGAAAAATTATGAATAAAGGACCCCATCTTGGCACTTTTGTAAAAATGTTAGGGTCATTTTCTAAAAAGAGGATCTTGTTTTTCTCAATTCAAACATATCGAAAGATTCTTCTACACTATATTTAACAATTTTTGAAAAGGGGATGCATATTGAAATGCGTTAAAGTTAAAAACACATTTCCCATGTTATTTTCCCATAGGGAAAACTCGTGCTATCCATTGTTTTCAGCATACTTTTGGTCATTGAAAATTGATATCTTCAAAACTAGACTTTCAATACCATTCTACTTTTGAAGAGTAAATCATGTTTAAAGATATGACTGTCTAAAATCACTTGCCATACTGCACATAGACCTTTAAATAAGTTCTTTCAAATAAATACAAACTAACATCTTTGATTTATAGATTTATTTCACTGTAATCAATACAGTATTTTAATTTTAAAAAATAGCACAAGTATAAGATTTATTTCATGTAAAATATATATTTAAAAATATCTTGGATATTTCTTGAATAAATACAAATAAGTAGGAAGTTAAATGGACAATATACTCTCATTTATGAATGATATGACTTTTATCCATTCACAGATATCCATGGATGTTTTTTTATTCCATAATAAAGCATGCTTCATGGATTTAAATTAAACTTTCCAAACCACTGATTTTCCATTGTTACCATCAGCCTTGTTTTAGAAGTCAAGTAGCAAAAATCTGTCAAGCATTGGATACAGCACCATATCCAATAGGTTATTTGATGATATAATATTATTTTTCCACTGTTTCAAAAATACCATCTTTATTTTGACAAGATATCACAGTCATCATGGAATAATATATACTATATAATAATTCTCATTATTAAACTCACAGCATCACACTTGATCATCCGCTACTGTGCAATAGGCAACTGTCTAATTATGGCACTTTGTGTAAACTATACATTACTATACTGAACTGTATTATGCACTTCTTTAAGAAAGTCTGTCAGGCTTATATAAATATCGGCTGTTGCATCAATACATTTCTGTTTTAAAACCAGAATTCAATAACTGAATATTGACTTTTGCGCGATTTACCATTTAACAACATTATAATGAATAAATATGTAAAATAAATGTTCATACATACAGTTCATGTAATACAATTTTGTAGTTAAATAATCAGATACCAGATTTTCTTGTCTCACTTGTAATGCAGGCCAAGGTATTTCTTGTCTCACTTGTAATGCAGGCCAAGGTATATATTTTTAAAACTAACCATGGTATATTTTTAAACTAGTGAGCTTTTACATATTAATGTTAACTAGGGTTGCAATGACAAAAGTTTAATCATTTGTTGCAGACACCGGCATCAGTCACAAAATATGGTTGCCATAGCAACCGAATATGTCCCATCTATCCAACGAAATATGCATAAAACTCAAAATAACAAATTCTAAAAGAGATGGTTGTCATTTTGAACAAGTCATAAAAATCTAACCCGAAAAGGCTACTGTTATCATGTATTTAGCATGTTATAACTTATTTTGTACAACGTATTTTACTATTCTGCAACAACTTCATTAAACTCCATTTGTTGTAAACATCCCCACAAATTTTTAAATAAGTGCTCATCATACATTACATTGAAATCACTTTCAAAATAAGGCCCATGGAAGAGCCCAGGCTATGAGAACATATGGTGAACAGTTCACATATAAGGAATGAATAATTTGCATAAAAATATAAATTATATAGTGATACATGTTCAAAACTGTTGACAGACTTATATAAAGTGTCTTAAAATCAACATTAATCATCATACTGTATTATGGACAGTTATTGGCACATCTAATTTGGCTTCACATCTGTGTCTGTAAATGAATATGTCACAACATGTGACATGTCACAATATCAAACATAAAAAACATTTGTAAAAGCATTACAAAGCTATAAGCTCTCATAAAATATCAACTTTTCTATTCTGAGCAGCAATACATGAGTGAAATCACAGGGTTGATTCTATATACTGATTGTCATTGTTATTGATGCATTCACCATGGTAACATTCTCCTAACAACAGTGAAGCGGTCTCCATGGTTAATTGCTGGTCTTTCTCAGCCACTCATACTCCCAGTTCCTTCGCTGGTCCAGGAGTTTTTCACGTAGATCATGTTCTGGAGATAGTGACCGCTTTACAATGGCTGAAAACATTGAATACTACTTTGCTACAGTAATTCTATAATGAGGGATTGTATTATTTTATTGTATAAATAGTGTAAAACTGGATAACTTGCTGCCACATGAACTAAAGCTGAGATCTTTAGATTTTGAATTATTCTCATCTAATGCCACTGGACTGGAGAACACTATATATCTTACTATAAACCTTAAAACACTTTTTTAATCACAAAATGTTATCAATTATTTTGTCAATGTAGATGTGAATATTACAGACAGAAAACTGAATCTATACTATTTCATGTTCTATGCTTAATACTAACGCACTTACATTTACATATGTAAAAATATATCTGTTGCATCGTACATGGTTTTCAAGGTGTTTTATAAATCATTTGCAATATAAATACACAAGTAAATTGCACTCACCCTGAGGTAGGTCATCTACCATATAAGGTGCTATGGTCTCCCGTGTGTAGGTGGGGCACCCTTTAGAACTCCACTCTAGGATCATGTTCTCCAAGGCCTGGGTGACATGGCCACGACGTGCTGGATTCTCCACATAGACATGCACCTCTGTCACTCGCTTGTTGTACAACATAGCTGCCTGCAATATGGAACAAGCACATACAATGAACCCTGAAAACCAGTACATGTATATCCAATACCTGTCTTATCTGAACACCTTTTAATGTGAACAACTTTTATTTGTCCCAAACCTTTGATTCAAATATTTATAAAAATCCTTGAAATGTACATGTACATTTTGCAAAATAAATGACTGTGGTTTTGTGATAGAAGGATTTGTATATGGCTTATATTCTGATAAGTGCTAATCTCAACATTTTTGGTCGATCCTAGTGGTGTTTGAATAAGTTTTTATTAATGTATATCAAAATTAGAGGCCTGTATAAAGTATATCACTCGGCATTTTGTAAAATATGGGGCTGATCAAGATTGGGTGAGGAATTCATGGTATCTTCACTTTTTGTTAGTCGCCTTGAAGCATTCAATGTTTTGATGATAAAACAAGATGCCTTTAGGTTTATTCCTACCTGATATGAACTTCTATTTAAGTATTTCAAGGCAATATTTTATTTGTGGAAAAACTTGCTCCATGCCATTTATTAATTCTGACTTCTCATCAGTGGTCCATTTTCAACATATATGTGTTATAACATTACCTGAAGTGACCCTCTCATTGACTGTAGCTCAGTCTCATCTTTGGTCCAAAACTTCACTATTCCTTGTGCCTCCATTGCATATATTTTATTAAGTAGTTCAAAGACAGGGAGGGGGTTGTCAGTGGAGCCATACAGCTCATTCTGTACTGATTGGTTGGGGTTGGGTCTATAAAGATGCAGCACTGATGGCGCTGAAAACGAAAGAAACGTGTTGGCTGTTCATCTTACATTTCTAGTACAAAAAAGGAGAAATCAAATAATTATGACTCAATATTTATGAAAAGTTTGAAAACAATCAACATTCAGTGAGCAGGAATTAATTACATATTGAGATAAAGTGATATATATATGTGAAAACAAGGGAGATCTACTGACCTACTAGTGAGAAAAAGGGAGATCTAGTCTACTGACCTACTAAGGAGAACAAGGGAGATCTATTGACCTATTAAGTAGAGCAAGGGAGATCTACTGACCTACTAGTGAAAACAAGGGAGATCTACTGACCTACTAATGAGAACAATGGAGATCTACTGACCTACTAGTGAAAACAAGGGAGATCTACTGACCTACTAATGAGAACAAGGGAGCTCTACTGACCTACTAGGAAGAACAAGGGAGATCTACTGACCTACTAGTGAGAACAGGGGAGATCTATTGACCTACTTGTGAGAACAAGGGAGATCTACTGACCTACTAGTGAGAACAAGGGAGATCTGTCTACACAGTGCTGGCCACCATAGCAAGCATGCTTCCTCAGTGGTATATTGTCACGGGCAAAGAAGTTTGTGTAATTGTGTTGAACATTCTTAAGGTCATAGGGCACCCAGTGTAACAGATTGTGGCAGTGCTCTTGCTTGTCCTCCCATATTCGACCTGAAACAAAATGAAAAAACATATGTTACACCATCTAGTATGATAATCCAAAAAACAGTAATTATACCATATAGTATGATAATCCAAATCTGTACACTTCAAATCTCAATGCATGCTACACTAGCTCTTATATACATAAGTGTAATACAAGTACAAGCCTTTATACAAGTACTAACCTGTAATACAAGTACCACATGCTCCAAAACAATTCTCTAGTGCAGACTGAACATCAGAACTTCTACGATAGAGGTGCTTCAGGTTGATCTGTTGCCACATATGCTCCACCTTGAAACAAACACAGACATTACATTGATAAAAAGGAATAGGGAACAATAGCTGAAGATCAAAAATATACATTTTGAACAAAGAGAGCAGGGGGGAACAGATGTATGGATTTATCAACTCATTTAGGTTTGTGGTTCCCCTTAGCCAAGTTTTTTTCTTTTCTGAGATACTGTCATTTCAAAATATTATTTCTTTCACAAATCAGATTTCTCAATCAAACTAACCTCGTTATCCCTGTGCACCTTTGTTTCACGACAAAATGGAGTATCAGAACGAGGCTGACACTCATTAGCACTTAGTGGCTCTGCCTGTCTTCTACGTCTTTTAATATATCCTGGGTGATCATGTTTGAAGTCCACAGATTGGCGGCTGGGAACATTGGCATACATACAAGCATTCTCGAGGTTGTCAGGGTCAACTATACGGTTCTCTACAAGACATTAGCATAAAGAAATTCTGATTTAAAGAAGTCAAGGTACTATAAAGAAACTATGGTTAGAATTACACAGCAGGTTCAATTGCTTCATTTCAAAGCATTGTGAGCCTTCTGACAAAAAATTGTAACAAACGATTTTTGAGGTGTTACACAGGCACAAGATGAAGTTTTTTGTCAGAAAATATATATCAGCCTTACGTATTGCTTGCATGCTTCTTTTCCTGAACCAAGCGACATTCTCCTCAATTGTCATATTTCCCATTGTGACATCATCACTCTCCAACCACACATTCAATGTCTCTCCTAGTCCCACATAAACATTGTTGCCATATACACCTGGTAGTGTGGAAAGTTGTTAGAAGTATCATTTTTCACTCATAATTATACATGCATATCAAAAAAGGCCAAAACAATTTAAATGATAATTGCAGATGTCTTTATAGTCGTGTGTTAGGCTATAGTTAAACAGAGAACAATTAACATTATGATACAGTTGCATGCAAGATTGTTTGGCGGTTTTACAGGAAATGGAAATGATTGATTTTCACTGCACTGTGGCTCATAGTAATTCTAGTACATTGAATAATAATGCAAGGTAGTATGTAGTCCATGATAAGGACTGTCTCAGTTATGACTGCTTACCTAAGTGAATACGCTTTCCTTCCCTGTGGAATAATGGGGAACATTTATCCATGGAAATCTTGGCAAGTCGTTGTACATCTTTAGTGGGTCCGGACCCATCTTTGTATTTGATAGCCATGGCTAAACCACTAGAGTGCATGTTGTAACGAGGGTCAGACTCAGGTATCTTTGATCTTTCTTCAACAGTTGTCATATATCCAGTCACAACCTCAATTTCTACAGGGAGATCTAAAACAAGTTCATTATCAACATTATTAATCTAATAATAATCTTTTCTAGGAGGATCTAGCTACATGTATGATAAAGTGCCAGAATTCCACAACATCAATTGTTTTCAAAGTTTTAAATACCTTGCTGATACCCAATGAAACACATTCCACCAAAATATTAAATAAGCCTCGGAAAATAACAGCAATTAGAACACATTAATGCCAACATGTAAAAACTATATCTAATATCTAGTATCAGTAAAATGGCATATCATGTCTTTGGATATATAAATTAACACTTTCTGATTTAATATAAAGCAGCACCCTGACACTTTAAGTATAACATACACTGTACATTGAAGAGATTTATATGCAGGTATTTTGGGGTCACCTTATATACCAAACAGATAATACATGTTAGTCTGAGTGTAAAGTATACAGATGATTAAAATGAACTCATATGCACTCATGAATTCACCTGTTGGTTTCAGCCATTTATTTTCCTTGTATCTAATGTTCTCAAAGCACTGCACAAGTAATGGGTTCAGTCTGAAGTACCTAGCCTCACTTTGGTGGGATTTAAACATGTCTATAGTTGTGTGGTCTGACAGTTTGCTTGTCTGCAAATAAAGCAAAGTACAGGGGATTACATGCAAAATGTCACCACCTACCATTTGTTAGAGACCGATAAATGCCGACCCCCAACCGCCAAATGCCAACTGCCGAACACAAAAAAGTTGGAGACTAACAATATGTCACCAGTTGTGGTGGTGACATAAAAATGTGAATGAGTATGAGGAATGATTTATGTTATTAAGATTTTAAGTGAACATCATACAATCATAGTTGATTCAAAATGGCTACCGACATGCCAAAAATTAATTGCATTTATTGGCGTAGCGTGGGTATTTTTTGAGTGTATGCCACAAGTGAGCGAAGCGGAAGAGTTTTGAGAGGTGTTTGAGGGGGAGTGTTCTCCCCCAAGAAAATTTGAAAATGATATTCCATTTGAAGCGTTCTGGGGCGTTTTAAAATTTGAAATTCAGACTAATATGGACTAATAAAATGTAAGAATATTCAGAATATCCAGTATTTTTAAAATGTAGGGCAATTCAATTTAAAAAATCAACTTTTCTTTGATGGCATGGCGTTTCATGCGTATATAACGCTACACTAAGTGAACACTTCTTGGTGGTGACAGAAAAATGGACACTAATACTTTACCGAGCATGTTCAATATCTAATCTGATTCTCAAATCGATCAAATTGAATTCATGTGCACAAATGAATATTTGAAGCCATTCCTCTAAATGATTTGCTTGAAATTTTGTGATAATAAGAGAAAAAATAAGCTACATCTGCATGTTCCAAAATAAGCTTGATATATGCCAATCCATCAGATCCTGATAAAATTCTAAATAATTTATAACATAAACACAAAATGTGTCTCTTCTGGAATTGTAATCATATTGCAGTTTATCATATAAACACTAGCTACTGTAATGTAAAAGTAATTAAAACACTACTGTATAGAACTTCCTATTATACATAATTTGTTATCTCACTTGCAGGTCTCCATCAAAGATATATCTTGACTTCCTCTCCAGTTCTGTTCCAATCTCAGGCAGCTCATAGTGTGATTTCTTCTCAAAAGGTGGCACCACATGGTTCAGTTGAATGCCGGGAAATCGTGAATGTTGTGCTATTGTGGAAGCCTGCTTTTTCACCGCAATGTAAACATGATCAGCTGGAAAATATAACCTTGCAATGAGTGACTATATTATATGACTACTCTTTATCAATAACAATTTCAACAAAGTTATTTTGAAGATCTTTTTGGTTCGAAGATTAATCATTTTTTATTATAAAAATGACATTTTTGAAACATCTCTCAATGATCAGTGTTTAAGTCCATCACTTACATGAACATGTAGCATACAGTTATATATGCTCCTAAACCAAAGATATATTATGATTTAAGATAAGAAAATCTGTACTGTATCATATAGCAATAAAATAATAGCATTCTGCTTCCTTGTAGATGTGAAATGTTATGTCTAAGAGTAATAGTTAGTTCCAAAGTACCTTTATGTTGTACATATGTGGCACCTGCACATATGGCCAGTTTACTGAGCTCCTTTAGGAGAGTGGATGAGGGAGTCCCAGTCAGGGTGATCTCCGCTGCTCTACCCTCATAGTGCAGAGATCCTGGGGGATAGGGGCCTGAGGGGTGGAGTGATGTAGCCTCTGCAAATGCTGCATTAACTTGTAGCTTGGCTGCAATGTTGAAATCATGTGACATTTAAGGTAATGAGGCACTCCATTATAAACACACACTTTGGCACCTTGTTCTGTGAAAATCTCAAATTCTTGCTTAAATCAATTTGATGGACTGCTGTATCAGTTTTCATAATACTCTTACCTGACCCAAATACTGAATAAAGTCGCACCATCTTCTGAACTTGTCTTATGACATAGTAGAGGCGTGGAGAAACAAGACGACTGCCACATCTTAAAGCAAATAACAATTAATAAAGACTTGGACATTACCAAATTTTGAATTGTTTCACACTTTCACCTTTGGTATAATTATCTTTTCTCTTCAAACTTTCCTTCAATTTTATTTCTACTTATCTTTTTCATATGTTGCCCTTTGTACTTTCTCATTATTGATTCACAATCGATTGATGTCAGGGTTGTAGTCTTAAATGCTTGATTATAACTAATGTTATAACATGTGGGCATGTACCTGCTTGCAAGAGAATGTCCTTTTATGGCAGAACGGCAGTCAATACATGGTTGGTTTTGGATCCCACACCAGGTGGCATCACGATCATCATTCTTGAATATAACATTCCTGCTAGGAACCTGCATCAGCCTGCAAAGTAAAATAGTAGTATATAGTCGATCAGCCAACTCTTAACAGCAACAATTATTAATGGCCTCATTTTAAATAGTAGGTCAAATTGTAATGGTAAATTAAATTACAAAAAGTAGGTCAAATTACAAATAAAACAAATCATAAATAAGTATGACATTTATAAAACAAAAGAATAATTTAATGTTATCAAAGACCTCATCAAAATCAAAACTTTTTACAAAATTTATAGAGTGCCCGCAGAAAACCATAAACTTGGTAAGCCGAAGCTGAAATATCTATTCATTTGCATCATATATTTTCTGATTTGATTTGATTGATGGACTGACAGATGGATGAACATACTGTTGAGAGGGAAATTCCGTTAAAAAGCAAACTCTAAAGAAAGTCATAGAATGTACCTCCCATAATCACCAGCCTTTTCTCTGGTAATCTGAATGTCTAATTTACCCACAGTAGCTTCAGGGCTTGTACTGCCTTCTGGGTAGATTCCCCCTTCATCTAGGCCTGTATATGAACTACATGATGATGGGTTGATGGGATCTAAAAATAAAGAGCACACTCTTCAGTTCATATTGATCTAAGTTGTGATTCTACTTCACAGTAACTCATCTAAAGAGATTTCATTATTGGACATCTATAAAACTAGAAAGGCACCATTCAGAATGCTCACACAATGATTACTTATGCTCATTTTTTAAAAATAGTTCAAGCTGCAAAAGTAGGTCAAACTCTAAATATTTCATGAAAAAGTATAATCTGTCAACAGGATGGTTTAATATGATCAATCTAATGAAATCATTGTGTAAGATCCCCAAAGTCTAAATTTTTGCAAAATGTTAAGAGTGCCTGGGAAAAAAGTGTAACAACTGTACAGTATATGTTGACTCCATGGGGTCACTGTCCTTGTGTCATTATAAGTTGAAATAAAAAAAAACGTATTTGAAAAGAAAAAATATTGCACAGTTAGGACACCATTGGCATAAATCTCTCACCATAATATTCATCAATTTTATCCAAAGCCCATGTCCTGAACTCCTCAGTATTTGCCATAGATTCGTAACCAGCAAGTTGAAAGTAGGGCTCTGTGTCCCCAGGCCCTGTCATGTGGATGTGTAGAGTTTTGTGCATTATAATCAGCCCAATATCTCTCTGGACTGACTGAAACACATATGTACCAAAACATGTTAATGCCGAAGATCTGCCTAAGTTTGGGAAAGACTCATATTCTCCAATAGCCCCTGAATGCACAATGTATATCATCAATAGTGTGACTGGGAAACATTAACATGATGATGAATCCTGCATAATCAATGTGTGAACAACATATAAGTTACATATATAACTACATATATAGAGATTATCCTATATGAGATTCAGGATATTGGGATTATCCCGAGGCCAATATAATATATAGATATATTATATTGGCCAAGGGATAATCCCAATATCCTGAACCGCCTATAGGATAATATGTTTATCCCATACTAATCTTGGTCATCTGGTTCACATTGTTCAACCGTGGAAATATTTTAGAATATTCATGTCCAGTTTTGTTTTCTTGGCCGTGTAGTCCCACATTTATTTTCTCGAATTTTTGATTGATTAAGTGGATGCACCTTCCCTTTTTTAAACCATCAAACAGATTCTGATTGTCTGTGTTTTCTCCATTGTCATTTACAGTCATTACGCGAACGTTACAAATTATGAACAAATGTGCGAGCGGCGATTATGACGTAGCGGGCAGATATAGTATATCTGCCCGCTCGGAGCGGGACGTAAAGCTATATCTGCCCGCTGATGAAAATATAAGTTTTTACAAACCAGCTTTATGTACCTGTAACACGTCCAAGTATGGGATAAATGTATTTATGGGATAGGGACACAGAAAATGACAAAATGAAACTATAGCCATACTATAAGTACATTGTATATTTCACTCTATTGAGTATATATACTACATATGTTACACTTAATTTTCAATGTTGTGTTTTGAGCACTAATCTTTAATTAAATGATAAGTGCTATTTATCACTCTTCAAACCACTCTCAATGTCTACTTGACTTTCAACATATTGTCATTTATTTGTGCCAATACTGTATATAGTACCCCGGACACGTTGTATGATGCAGTCGTTTTTTACTCTATATTTGCAATAGAACAATTGAAATTTTCGTATTTTATTCTGGAGACAATTTCCAACATGGAAAAAAAAATTTTAACGAAACTCCTAATTTTATGATTTTGATAGGCTTTATTCAAAAACACTCCAATGTCAATAAAATACAGGTTTTGCTTGAACAATTAAACTTTTAACGTCATTTCAAAGATTGTCTAGCTATTGAATTCTTGACAGCCTAAAGTCTTTCCAGATGTATTTGATGCCATATTAATTTTGGCTGATTATTGTCATTCATTTTTGTCATATTCAATAGGCCTAATATAATTACAGTGCATTAGGCCAATGAAAAACTTGTCACTCTGGGTCACGTTTTCTCTGAAAAGGCACCTTTTTCTCCACTTGGTTTTTCTGCAACCGTCACTCAGCATGCAAGCCCGTGGCACGTAAATTGTACCATGCTTTTAAAATGCCAGGTCTCCCTGACAATTTCATGATAAAATTTGACACAGCTGTATTAACATCTCTGAAGGATCTAATGCCAAGAATACTTCAAATAGGAGATTCGTAATGTTTAACTTCATTTTGGACAGTATTGAACAGTGTTTTTGAAAAAAGTCCGACAAAATCATAAAATTGAAAATTTTGATAAAATATTTATTTTCCATGTTGGAAATTGTCTCTAGAATAAATCCTGAAAATTTGTTCTATCGCAAATATAGAGTAAAATGAAGGACCCATGGTCCTATGCTCACACAGTTTGGAACCTTCAAAGGAATTTATATCCTGACTTTCAAACAAAAATATTGATTTGGATTTGTAGTCTCGAACTTTGAGAAACTTAGATAGCAAAGTTATGTGACCTAGTTTGATGACCTTTGACCTTGGAAATTTTACTTTTTCAGAGCTCAGTAAGGTCTTTTGTGATTAAGCTGACCAAAATTTACATCCAAAAATCAATTTGAAAAATCAACTTTTTTGACCTTTCGAAGGTCACTGAAGGTCAAGTAAAGGTCAAATCCTAAAACTAATGTCAGATGTAGATGATTTTCAAAAAAAAAATTGGTCAAATTGAAGCAAGTTGAAAAATAACTTATTTTTACTGTTTTTTGACGTCAAATATTTCAAAAACGGTAAAAATTTGATGCTGACATATATTGAGAAATATGTAGGGAATGCTTAAATCTATTAATGATGTAATTTATTGCAGGAAATGATCAAGTATAAGACAAACTTTAAGAATCTTGTCAATCACAAAACCTGCCATTGACTTTATACATGAGAAAGTTTCCTGAAAAAGTCCTACTTTTTTTCAAATTTTATAGAGTAAACACCAAAAACCGTAATTCCAAGAGCTTAGAAATCTTCACAGGACATAAGTTGCATAGACACCAACTACTAAAAGTTATTTGAAAGTTCTACTTCAACAAAGTGTCTAGTATTTACAGAAAAGTTGACTTTTTGACGTCAAAATCCGCAATTTCTCGGAAACCGGGCGAACTTGGGAAATGGCGATGATAGGTCAAATAGGCATTATGGATATGCATAAAATGAATGTGGATATGACTCAATCCGAATAGCAGTTTTAATTTGTGCGGCCAATGACGGACGGACGGCAGACGGACGGACGGACCAACGGACGGACGGACGGACCAACGGACGGACGGACGCCTGGTCGATCCCATAGGCTCACTGTGTGAGCCAAAAACGACTGCATCATACGACCTTTCCGGGTACTAAGGTACATATAAAGTTTCTATATAAGCACATGCAATCAAAAGTATGTCTCAGTGACTTTCATTTGCCATGGTCCTATTTTATAAAAATTATATATGCAGCGTTGTCAAGCTATTTTGCATTCTAAAGACTCAAAGTTTGCTAAAAAACAAAATCTGCATATTAACATACAATTCATATTGCATTTCTATAGCAAACATCTCCTTAGCTCCTAGATATTTGTTTTCATAGACATTTAAATGAAATCAACATGTAAGTACTGTATTTTTAATATTTTAAAAATCAAAAAGGCAATAGCAGTATTATAATATATTTTCAATATAAGAGTAAAACATACTGCAAATATTGCAGGGCAGTGATATAACGCTGCCTCAGCTATTTCCTTGACATCACCAGTTTCTCCCGACTTGAAGCCCAGTGTAGCGCTACAACCACTTCGGGAATATAAGTCTCGCATTGAAGTACTTCCTGGTAGATCACTGGCTGTCTTGAAACCTCTGTTGATGATCACCTATATATTGATAGTTAAAGTGACAAACATGAGATCTTGATTACATCAAATAATGATTTCTATTCTGTATATGTTTCTTGTAATAGTCTTTGCTTCATAAAGACTATTTATAATCACCATTATCATAATACATAGTATTGTCTTGGGCCTATTACAATCGTAGCTTTCATGAGCAATGCAAATACAGATGGATGATCAGGCAAATACAGATGGCTCAATGTACAAACTGTATCATCATGAATTAATAAATAAAATAATAGAGGTGATATCTGCTTACTGTTTTGCCAGACATGTGATTCCTGATCTCCTGTAGGCATCTCATGAATGTTGGGTCTGCCCGGAACAAATCTGAACTCTGAGACTTAAAATCACGAACATGAAAGTTCAGACTTAGTTTCTTGTTATAGTTGTTATCTTGGGAAGAATCATAGATAAGGGAACCTACAATTCAGAAAATGAGGAGTTAGCAAATGAAGACAAAACTGTATATCATGAAATGTTGAACACAAGTTCACTTCACAAATATGTCAGAAAATGGGAAATTCCTGTTTGACTACCAAAAGTTACCATACCATACTATCCTGAAAGTTATCAGCTGGTAATAATAACCTTTTGGAGACATCAGCATTCAAAACAATCAGTAATATCTGAGCCAAAAGCAATCACATTTAATCTTTCAAGAAGAACTGGTTCATAATTAGGCAATAGATACATACAATTAATGTAGACCTTGTTTGTATCATCCTCCGCATTGCAGGGTTACAGAATCATATACATTTCCAGGAAGAAAGCAGGAACTTTGTGATTGTGTACGATTCTGTAACCCTGCAATACGGAGGATGTGTTTGTATTCATACATTTAGCCTATCATGCATTTGACCATTTTGACCAATCAGAATGCAGAATAAGCATCCATAGTCTCATTCACTATGCATGGTTTTGATGGTCAGTTGCTTTAATTCAGGTTAAACATATTGCAAAATATAACCAGAACAACGGCAACGCCAAAGCGTAGCGAATCCCATCGAACAGAAATGGCTGGCATTTTTACAAACGAAATAAATAGCAAATATCATAAAATAACACACATAAGAAAGGCCACCATTTTCAAATGGTTGCTCACTAGCCAAGTTAATTGTCATCAGAAGTAGAAATACGCTTTTTTTTTATAGTATTCACATACCAAATATGAACAAAATCGCTCCACTACTTTTCGAGTTATAGTAAAATACTTTAAAATGGTGGCCATTTTTCAAAATGGTCGCCTTCTATCAAAAGTGTCATTAGACAGTGTGCCATGCTTATAGTATTCACATACTAAATAAGAACAAAATCGCTCCACTACTTTTCAAGTTACAGCAAAAATCGTAAAATAACTAGTAAAAGCCGAGTAAGGCCAATTTTCAAAATGGCCGCATTCTGCCAAAAGTGCCATTTGATAGTGTACCATGCTTATAGTATTCACATACCAAATATGAACAAAATCGCTCCACCCCAAGTGAAAAAAGTCAATGGGAAAATATTGACAATAAATAGGTAATACTCTATTAATTCTTAGCTAACAAATACCTAAAAAATTTATCATGCAAATTAGAGAGAATTACGTTAATAAATAGGTGTTAATAATAAGGTATTGTTAACATTCAACGCTCATGTAGAATATTGACTGATTATCAAATGAAAATTACATTGTAACAATAAGGTAAAATTAGAAATCTAATAATCATGTATTTATTATCTTCCAATAATAAGCTATATGTTAACAGAATATTACCTAAATATTGTACATATTTATTGTGGTAATATTCTCTAATTTGCATGATAAATTTTTTAGGTATTCGTTAGCTAAGTATTAACAGAGTATTACCTAATTATTAGCTATTTAAAACCTATTTGTTGCATTACTCTTACCCAAGATGCATTATGGTCTACAAAATGGGTAGGGACACACAAATTCGAAGTAAATATGTGACGTATATGTAATTCGCGTGAATATTCAAATCTGGCCATGCAAAGCGTATAAATTAATTCATTGCAAATTCTCTTGCAAAAACTATACAGATTTTGTCAAAAATCTCCCACAAAAGTACCACTTTTTGCAGAATTCACCGCAAAAACTATTGCGTTTATTAGAAAAAAAACTGGAGATAATCCGCTTTTATAAAAAAAAGTACCGGTTTATTTCAAATCTACCGTAAAAACTCCAGTTATTTCACCTCAAAAACTCTCCCGATTTTTTAAAATCTACGGCGAAAACTAACAATTTTTTAAAAAACTTCCAGATTTTGTAAAAATCTCCCGTAAAAGTACCACAATTTTTGGAAATCTCAAGCAAATTGTTCATTTTAGGTTGGCCCTGGGTATGTAAGATGATATAAGCAATTATTATGGGACATTACTGGTAATTTTACCCATCGATCAGAATTGTCCTGAAGGCAAGAAGGCTCACAGTAATTGAAGGACCCTCTAGGCCTCCAGCAGTATTTATCTTCATAATCTTTATAAAATACCTTATATTTTAACTGCATGGTACAATTAGTCATACACAACACATTTATGCCACTTTGACTGTATGAATAGAATTAAAATTTAGCCTTTATAAATTCAGAAAGAAAAGAAGATTTGCCCATCTTAACTGGAATAAAACAGCAATACTTACATTTTACCTCTCACAAAGTAGACATGTAGAATGTTCAAGTATGTCAGTAACTTCTGAATCTATATTTGATTGGTCATTTTCATACTATTATTATAAAATCATAAAATTACCCAAATCTCTTACAGTTGAACATTCTTTGTCAGCCATTTTTCTTTTGGTTTAAAAAGAGCGGGAAAGTTAATATTTTGCTAATACTCACTGCCACATTTTTTTTAAGTCCAATCTTAACAATTAGCTAATTTTTATCCCCTAGGGTAGCAAGGATGACAAAAAGTTACCCAATTATTCAAAGAGCATTATAACATAGTTGTTAGAATAATAAATAGGTGTAATAAATAGCTATTTATTGGCATTCAACTTTCATTGATTTAATGCTCATTTAACAAATAGGTTAACTTTTATCAAAATGCATAATTATTAGACCAAAGTTAACCAATTATTACATGAGAATTGCCATTTCTTTTTACTTGGGACCACCGCTCGAGTTATAGTAAAAAATGTTAAAATAGCGGCCATTTTTCAAAATGGCCACCTTCTATCAAAAGTGTCATTAGACAGTGTGACATGCTTATATTATTCACATACCAAATATGAACAAAATCGCTCCACTACTTTTCGAGTTATAGTAATTAAAATATGTTAAAATGACGGCCATTTTGAAAAATGGCCGCCTTCTACCAAAAGTATCATTAGACAGTGTGCCATGCTTATAGTATTCACAAACCAAATATGAACGAAATCGCTCCACTACTTTTTGAGTTATAGTTAAATATGTCAAAATGACGGCCATTTTTCAAAATGGCGGCCATTCCTTCCAAAAGTATCATTAGACAGTGAGCCATGCTTATGGAATTCACATACAAAATATGAACAAAATCGCTCCACTACTTCTTGAGTTATAGCAAAAATCGTATAAAATAACGAGTAAAGGCCGCCATTTTTCAAGATGGCTGCCATGTGCTTCTTTAATATCGGTCGCGAGTAAATCTCAGGCACGACATGGAAATCTGAAATTATAGAGGGCGCATATTCATTTTACACACGGCGAAATGAAATGAGATTTCCCGGGAAATTTTGGACAATACTAGTATATTAATAGTCTATTGTACATTGTACAACCACATTTGACCAGCACGATCACAAATCACATAGGGACCAATTAATATGATCTAAAACAATCAACCACGTACTGACCGAGCTTAGTAAAGAAAAAATATCAAGGATCAAGGTAAATCACTTATGATCAGGAACAATCACCTAAACCAGGGACAATCAACTAAGATTAGAACAATTGAGTACAATCACAGTATCAAAACAAAATATTAAGAATCACAACCAAACAATTGCCCAGAAGAGTCAAGAAAAATTTAAAGTAATAAAAACAATCACGATTAAGAACAATCACCTGTAAAATTGTTTAGGATCGACCCAATCCCTAAGGATCAAGACAGATACCAAAGAACAAGATCATGAGGATATTTCTAAGGATCAAAAACATTATCACTTAAGATCAATAACAATCACCTAGGATCAAGATTAATCACTTAGAATTAAGAACACCAAGGGCTCAGAAGAAATTTTTGGATCGGGAAAAATCACTTAGTGTGCTGTTAATGCAGGGGTTCAATAATGTAACTTAAAAGTCCAATATAAGATGAGATATAATGCATTTTTATTTGAGACATAAATACTATAACTTGACAGACATCTAGCAGCCCCTCGGCTATTGGCTTAAACACATCACGTGGTACAAAAGTAGGTCGAATTTGTGTAGTCCCGCCATATTTAGACAGACTTCCGGTACAAGTGCACTTGGATTTGCGCCCTCTATAATTTCAGATTTCCATGTCGTGCCTGAGATTTACTCGCGACCCTTTAATATCTACATTTCTAGCTTTAACAATGTCCTATATAATTTTTTACATTTAAAACATATTGCTATTACAGATTTACATATTGCACCTAAATTACTGTAAAATCGGCACTAAAATGGCCGCCATTTTTAGATGAGCGGCCATTTTGAAAATCGCCTTTCGAGCAGAACTTCTACCCCCATAGGGTATATGTGTACAAAATATGAACAAAATCGGGCCAACGGTATTTGAGTTATTGCCCGGACGGACGGACGGACAGACGGACGGACGGACGTACGTACAGACGTACGTACGGACGGACGGACGTACGTACGGACGTACGTACGTACGTACGGACGGACGGACGGACGGACGGACGGAGGCGTTCCTTATATCCCTCCGAACTTCGTTCCATGGGATAATCAGATGGATACAACTGATGATAATGAGAATGACACTGGCAAAGCAAAAACAAATTCCATTGATCAACTTGTTCAGTGCCAAACAAAACTCCCAAGGCATCATCTTGATATGGTATCAGGCCAATAGTATTTGAGTTATCACCTTGGATATTGAACCTACCTTAGAATTGGATAATAAATCAAAAACCTAATCAAGTCTCACAAAAACCAACCTTAAATCAATAAAGCTTAGTACTGTTTTTAACAACTACATGTGCATATTGATATTGTGTGATATTAAATCCGAGTTGTGACACAAGCACTATATGAACACACGTCATAGTAATTATCCTCCCAACACAGAAGTCCTGCAGAATATATATATCGATTGATTAGTTCCTCATTCTCCAAAGAAAAAGTAAAGATATTCTAGATTTCATCATGGACTTATATTGAAAGCCCATGATTTCACCAACCAAGTTGAGGTGCTTATTTACCTGTATCTTTGGGGTCTTTAACATTATTCAAAAGGTCAGGGGAAAGGGAGCTTGGGTCAACTGGTTTGAGGAACACTCCCTTCTCAAATTCCACTTCTGAAAGAAGAAAAACATGTAACAACTACACCCATATAAGCCATAGATAAACATATATACTCTTCATTGCATCACAGCAAATAGGTATGTTGACCTCTATGTATAGTTAAATGTCAATAAATGATGCAAAAAGGCATTATCATGACAAAGTATTACTATCTGCTTGCACACACTATTATAGAACAGTGAAAATCTGAGATATCTGCAGTGATGGAATATAGAAATTCAAGAAGATTTATTAAGATGCAAAAATGTCCAAGATCATTAGAATTGAAAAGTAAGACATCCCCCTTTCATTTGATTTGAAACATTTATTTGTGGTATATAGTACATGTCGTCGCATGAGAATAACTTTGTACTATCTCACATTTTTACGGAACTGAGAAATCAAGGTTTGAAAGTTTAGAGGTCTGTATCTTACTTAGTATTGCTATGTGAAACTTGATTTTTTGTATGTCACCTGGTCTCACCCAAGAGATATCTTAAATGAAATATCATACCTTGAAACAATTTACAAGATCCTTTTTTAAAACTATGGAAATGGAGTTGATACAATTTCCCACCGGAATAACAGCTTATTTCTAATTTCAAATTGTCATAGCTGATATCAACTGTTTCAACCAATCAACTCTCTAAGAATTGGTCATGTGACTTGCAAAACTTGGAGTTACACTCTTAAAAATGAATTACTTGAGTATTTCCCAAGTATTTCCCAAGTATAAAAATTACTTAAAGTTAAATACTTAGTTTTACTTCATTTTACTTAGGTTTAACTTATATTGTCATTTTGAGTTTTTTAATTGCTTAATTATGTAAATGAGTATTACAATTACTACAGTAAGTATTTCAATTTCTCTCCTTGCATTAGTAAATTCACCATAAATGAATTACTTAAAAATTACTTAAAAATTATTCAGTAGTTCAAGATTATTTAAGTAATTTTTGACTTAAAATGAGTAGTACAATTTCTCAATATAAGGAAATCCAAGTAATAATTTTTAAGAGTGTATGACAATCTTATATTAAAACAAAGTATGCCAATATGCATGTTATTGTATCTAGAATGAAATAATGTTTTGCTTTGTAAAAAAATCTTCAAAAACCAAAGAATATTATTTAATAAAATAAAGAAAATTCAATTTATAAAACTTTAAAATCAATTTCTCAAATAAGTACAATTATTTCTTAATTTAGGACACCCTTCAAAAAGAATTTATTGCCTTTGAAACTAAGGCAGAAGTACAATGCATTGAAACCAATGATGCCAATACGGTCTCCCACATATTTCCCTCGGTATAAACCCTGTAGCATAAACCTCCCAGCACATTACAATGTAGCCCCTAAGGGCCGGTCCGCTGGTCATTATCAGGTTATTTTTGATACAGACCAGTTGATTTTTTCACGGGGTATAGGAGAAAAACATTGCAACTGGTCCGTAATTCCATTTTGACCAGCAGGTTTCAGATCCTTACGGCCTAAGACATAACCAATTTTTATTACATGCACATGGAAGAAATTTGAAAATAGAAAAATAAATTCTAATTCATCTTAGATTAATGAAAGTGATGAAACCTCGATTTAGGTAATCACATTTTGTTCATTGGGATGCAGCTATCATTATCCATTCATTTTCTGTTGTTTGCTACTCTGTGGAGTACAATTGGGAATTGAAGCAATAGTATAGTTTCCATATAGCTTTTGAAATCTCGCTAAATCTCGTTTTTCGTGAGATTTTAAGAGACTTGCATATTAGACCTCTAATGACTTACATTACCTTCTTTTAAATGGTATATTTGAATTCAGTGAAATGTTTTCTCCTAAAATAGCTTTGATTTACAAAGTTATGTAATTTGAATAATTTTCTATGACAATTTAAAAAAACTTGGGCCAAATGTCCATAGATGCAATGCTAAAATTCTTTAAAACCGTGGATTATTTGTATGTCAATCAACATTTGCATGTTTAATCACAACATGTACATAAACAGGGTCATCATGTGGTATATCATTCAAGTTTTATACAGATTCAACAAACACACTTTGATAAATCATGAAATTAAGCCACTTTTCCAAGATTTTAGCATGTAAGTGAATGGAGCTCTAGCCCAAGTTAAAAGCTGAATAAAAGATGGCAGCACGAGATTTCATTGATTTTTCTGCTATTTAGAAACTATCCTATTGTAGAAGTTGAGACTAAGAGTGGCTCTTTGTAAAGAAATTGAACCAATTTGTTACTTTTCCAAAATAAAATGTAGATGATCTAAAAACAATGATCCCAAAAATGCAAAAGAAAGGACAAATCTGAAAAACATACTAGTAATAAAATAACTAATAAAAAGATCCCAGATGTTCAGTGAAAAGCGCAAAGTGAATCATAGATGAAGAGAAAATAAAATAAGTGTTTTAAGGGACTATACTAACATAAAGATAACTCCTTATTGATATAGTGTATGGTCAGTAAAAGTTAAAGCTAGTTAAAATAGATTTAGCTTTTTTCCACAAACTATAAAACATCATTTTGAAAGAGATTTCAATAGTATACAGACAGTGATTGCCTTTGAGCAATGTAGTGCAAAATATGACATTTACTATTTGTTTTGATTACTATATCTAGTATATAACCTATTATTATGTACTCTATTTGAAGAAACAAATAAGAAGTCTTTCATTTTCAACATTTAATGATGACAGCTTCGTATATGCATTTCTATTGCATTTGGCCATTCAAACCCCTATAAGACCTGGTAGCAGGGAAGATAAAGGGTACTTTTGACTGCTCACATGATCTAATTAACTGGTCATTTGTACTTTTCATCTTCCCTGGTAGCAAGGATTTAGGTTTTCGAGGAAATTAGTAATTCTATTTCATATCATGTGGCCATGAATAATCCAATGAGCATCCATAATACAAAGAGTAATTGAGGGCATATAATTTGAATATGCATGGGATTACACATACTGTATCATTTTATTTTTTTGATCTACTTGTAAAAGTTCTAAAACTAAAACATGAAAGGCAAGGCATGCAAACTGGCATGGTATTGTGTTACAAAACATTATTTCATTCTAGATACAATAACATGCATATTGGCATACTTCGTTTTAACATAAGATTGTTATAACTCCAAGTTTTGCAAGTCACATGACCAATTCTTAGAGAGTTGATTGGTTGAAACAGTTGATATCAGATATGACAATTTGAAATTAGAAATAAGCTGTTTGTCTGGAGATGGTACAATTTCACACTGAATTCTAGCTTAATGAGAGGGAATTGAGATGGGGCATGTATCTGAGATGAAAGCCTGTGTTTCAAATAGTAAAATTCCATGTCTATCTCAATTTTTTGAAAATGGCAGTTAGTACAAAGTTATTCTCATGCGACGATGTATTATATTGTGGAATACAAGTGAATATAAATGAATAATTCTACTGAGGTTGAGTTTTACTGGGTTGAGAAAGCTTGGGGTTGAGATGACCTAGCTGTCACCAACTTGAATTGGCTGTGGGTATTTCATTTGAACAATTATTTTCAGAAAAGAAAACTATTCATTATGACACACAGTAGAACTATACTATACAAATAAAAAATAAGAATTTTCAATCGATTTTTGTGTAGCAAATAGCAGTACTAGATAAATGGCACATGAACAACAAATATTTAATCAGTGATTGATTAAGTTTAAGTATAAGTTGCCATTTCAAAAGGACCAAAATGAAATTGCAAGATATCCATTGTCATAGGATGGCATTATCCCAGGCATTGCCTAATTTGGTTAATTTCTAGGAGTAGGTCTTTTTTCCAAGAAATTTCAAGATTTTCACATCACTCATTTTTGAACTCAAAACCTGCTTATTCACAGACAAAATGAACCAGCAATGCAATGTGCAAAGACAATCAAATCATGCTTATACACATCTTCATCATGATAATCTAGTTTTGGCAGTCATACAAACATACAAACCCAAATTTTAGGATCTGGTATGAGAATGCCCCCCAAACTATGACTTTTGAGGTATGAAAAATTTTATACAGTGAACCCCCCAGGCCAAATCCGTGGTCCCAGGGTACGAGCAATCCGGGGAATGTGTCCATAGTGCACAGAAGCCCCCCCCCCCCTATGTTATCTATAGGTTTAAACTACAAGTGTGGAAAGAATTGAAAAAAGAAAAATAGGGTAAATTAAAAAATTATTTATGAATGTTTTGTTTACATGATTCTCCTGGCACACCTGAAACATGAACATATCAGTTCAAGAAAAGATATAATTTTTTTCTCACCTCAAACTGTCGTGAGTGAATAGGCCGACCTAAACGATGTCGTAATTACAAATTCAAATGCCGCCATTTTGAATATTTTTCACGCTTCCAATTTTAAGTTGCAAAATTTGGTTTTATTCCATAACTAAACAAGGCATTAACATGACAAAATGTCACCACCTAGTTGCTCACAATATTATGAGTTCAATCTTAAGTCAGATTTGAATTTCTGAGAACTAGTAGATCATTTTAAAAAACAAATTGATCAATATATCATGAAGCAAGATGAAAAAATACCTTTTTGACCTTAACAATGTCATTGAAGGTCAAATCTTGTTTGACCTTGAGAATGTCATTAACATTCACATCTAAAGTCAGATTTGAACTGTTGAGAACGTGTAGATGATTTTGAAAAAAGAATTGGTCAATTTGAAGCAAAAAATACCGTTTTGACCTTGAGAAGATCATTGAAGGTCAAATCTCAAATATAATATTAGATTTGAACTTCTGATAAGTTGTAGATGATTTTGAAAAAATAAATTGGTCAATTTGAAGCAAGTTGAAAAAATACCTTTTTGACCATTTTTTGACCTTGAAAAGGTCTATGAAGGACAAATTTTAAATATAAAGTCTGATTTGAACTTCTGAAAAAATGCATGTAGATGATTTTGAAAAAAAATCAAGTCAGTCTAAACAGTATTTGTTAGTTATTGAAAGTTGTATGAATTTGTTACAGACGCCGATCGCCAACCACCAACCGCCATAAAAAAAAACCGGAGATCATAACAATATGTCACCACTTTTTGGTGGTGACTTAAAAATCAAAACACATAACAGGGGATCGGGATATGAGTATAAACCTTTCGATAGTATGGATTATGAATTTATTGTCAGTTGTTATTTCAGTGAATAACGACATCTCAGGGCGGAGCCAGTTTTTTCTGATTCATGATTCTATACAAGTAAAAAGGTCAAGTAAAGGCCAACTAAAGAGACCCTACAATATTTTTGGCCCGACATTTTTTCTAGGCCCATCCTAGTGCCGCGGTGAAATTTTTAGGGCCCTAAAACCAAAATTCAGACGAAAATTTATGGCCCGTCTCTTGAAAATTTGGCCTTAAATTGAATGAAAATAAAGCCCAAAAAGAGTCAATTAATGCCCAAAAAGGCCCACTAAAGAGGCCCTACAATATTTTTGGGCCAACATTTTTTTCTGGGCCCATCCTATGGCCGCGCGGAAAACCTTTTAGGTCCCTAGAACCAAAATTTGGGCCTAAATTTTGAAGATTTACGGCCCGTTTTTTGAAACTTTAGCCTAAAATTGATAAAATAAGGCCCAATAAGGTCAAGTAAAGGCCAACTAAAAAGGCCCTACAATATTTTTGGCCCAAACTTTTTTCTGGGCCCATCCTATGGCCGTGCATAAATTTTTTTAGGGCCCTAAAACCAAAATTCGGGCCAAAATTTTGAAAATGTGTAGCGGCCATTTTTCGAAAAATTTGGCCTGAAATTGAAAAAATAAGGCCCAAAAAGGCCACGTAATGACCAAAAAGGCCCACGGTTAAGGAGGCCCTATAATATTTTCGGGCTAACATTTTTTTCCGGGCCCATCCTAGGGAGGGGGGGCGGCCCCATGCCCCATTTAAAGGGGCACAAATATGTCCGCGAAAAAAATTGGGCCAAATTTTGAAAAAAAATGCCCAAATTCGAAAAACAATGCACAGTAATGCCAGTTTTTAATCTTAATTGCCCAGTGAATGTGGGGTAGAGCAAGTTTTTCTTCAAGGAAGCAAAAAGGTAGGTGGTCCACATTTTTCCCGGGGGTTCACTGTATATAAAACTCGACGGGGGTCCTAGGCTGAAGCCTCAAATATCAATATGTTCCCATACCAATCTGTCAAATTTCAATATGTTCCCATACCAACCAAAATAATGCCCAAAGGCCATATCAAATGTCCAAATATAGGACCAATGCCATACCAAATGTCCAAATATAGGACCAATGCCATACCAAATGTCCAATTATGGGACCAATGCCATACCAAATGTCAAAATGTAGGACCAATGCCATACCAAATGTCCAAATATGGGACCAATCCCATACCTTAATTCAAAGCTTAAATGTAGTAAAAATGGGGTTACAATCAAAATAGGCTATTGAAATATTTTTCAATGAGACTTAAGGTCAGGGGGATTTTTTTCAAAAAATTGGCGGAGGTTTAATTTGGCGGTTTTGATCAATCAATTTCTGTCAAATTAAAGCATAAGCTTCAAATCGTTGGAAATCAAACACTTTTCGAATCGAGCGTCCATTTTTCTTGGCGGCAAGTTTTGTATTGAAATCACGAAAAATCTCGCAAGACTTAATTTCCCGGGAAAAGGGCTAAAATTCAAAAGTTGAAGAAGGCCCTGGAAAAGAAGATACTTTGGAAAACGATCCAAAACAACTTCAAATTTGCAACTACCGGACCAATGCCATACCACGAATGTTAGGTAACGTATCTACAACGACCATTCTCATACCAGAAGAGCAAAAGTCCGACCATTGCCATACATCAGAAGTCAGAAATTTCCGGGCATTCCCATACCAAATCCTAAAATATGGGTCCATTGCCATACCAAACGTTGAAAAAGGTACCCCACATGCGCCGAGGATCCCCGTCAAGGTTTATATATAGTGAACCCCCCGGGACATTTTTTTAAGGAGATATCCGGGGGGGGCTCGGACGAGCCCCTAGAGCCCCCCTGGCTACGGGCCTGTTTTGCCTGTAGCTAGCTTTTTGTAAGGGGGGGGGGGGGCTCGAACCACATTTTTTAGGAGATATCAGGGGGGAGGCTCGGACGAGCCCCCAGAGCCCCCCTCTGGCTACGGGCCTGATTATGGAGAACTTCCCACATGGTCTAGTGACAGATATCTATTCAAACATCCTAAATAAGTTAGTAATCAAAATGCATTTTACCTGTTGTATAGACACCTACGACAGCTACTACGGTTAGAATTGTCACACTCGCAGTGGTGAACATGATTTTTAGCAATCTTCTATTCCCACAAACAAAATATGTTTAGAGTCTATAATTATGAGCCTATCTCTTTGGAGATACAATGCTCGTGTAATCCGAGTCCATCAAACTATCAAAAGACACTAGCGTATCTTTCTAAATAGAAATTAGACCAGGAAGTTTAAAAGTAAAAACTTCTGAACTTTTGATAGTTTCGAGACTTTAACGAAACTTTCGATTTAAATATCGCGAGACTTCAATTAATGACCGGATGTACAACATACGCATGCGCATCCAAAAATGGACGAGGTTTGATTTTGAAAATAATACTTCTAATTTAACTGATTATATGTGATTGCCATTGAAACAAGCTGAATATAACTACTGTAATAGTGTATATGGTCATTCTTTATCATATTAATTTTAAATTATGAAGTTTGAATACTTGGATTTGTGTGAAAAACACCCCTTTCAAAACAAATTTTGAAAAAAATATGATCGACATCGAGACTGAGACGACTCAGCTGAGTGAGACTGGGAAATACAGAAGGGTCAAGATTGCAGTTAAAAATCCCATACGGTTTCATTTCATAATGTATTCACGGGCACAGATCTAGCTCAGCGAAATAGTGCCTAGTGTTCTTTGGAGTCTCGTCTAGTTTGCCGTTACAAGATAATGATAGTGACCACATTGTTTTTGAGATAGAACTGAATCTTCAGAGAGCTACCACTGTGGAGTGACCTGTTTGGGAAAATTATTCTGCTCTACATTGTCACGAAAATCACTCCGCCATCTCTAAAAGTTCTATTTCCAACCATTCCAATCTGATAGATTAGTACTCCCTTATTGAGAATAAACCTTGATTCATTTATCAAACACTAGGTAGTGCTGCAAAGGGCCAGAAAAGGAGAAAATACTTTTTTATTTAGGAAACAAAATAACCAACAGTAACCGCTAGTATCCCAACTCCCAACTATATTCAAATCATAACTCCTTGGCAGGGCTAGTCTTCAACATATCACTGCCGTGGGCAGATCGTATATTGTAAGCATGGCAACTTCATAATAAATAACTGATGTGATTGGTTCTTGTCATGCTTATGTCGCGTGATGGTAAAATCTAGATATTAGTTCATTGGTGATGATTAACACTATAAAAGAGACATTCTGTTGCACATGTAATAAATTCTTAACCTCAATGAATTGAGTGATGTTTTCTCTGTCCTTGAACGTACAAATATAGTGGATTTTGTGTCCATATAACAATTAGAAACTTAAAAATTTGAAGTGATATTCAAATGTTCAGGTGATTTAGGAGCCTGATTACGCCGCAAGGAGATTGGCTTCCATTATACAACATGACAACTTTCAAAAGAATGGTGATCCATGATAACATTTGTATGATTTGGTAGGAATTTATGTCCATCATTTAGTCGTATGAAGCTTTGGATTCATTTATTGTGCTACTTAGAGTGAACAGGAATTATTTTTCTACCATTTAGGAGAGTTTGAGACATAAAACTTAGAATGTAGCTCATTGTGACAACTTTTGATGGTTGAGGTTTATTAAAGTCTTCCAGTTTAACTAATAAACACATATGCGGTGAACCATTATCAACAAAACTTTTAACTCTAAATCCTACTGCAGATATTTTTCTTATATTTCATGAATTTTGGAACATTTTGACAAAATAATGATTGGGGAATGTTAAAGAATATATATTTTATAAGTTGTGTGAAAATTGACTATATCTATGATAAAAAGGGGGACTATTTTCTCCAAATTTTGGTTATTTCTGCCCATTGAGTGTCTATTCCGAGACACTGCATGGGAGTTTGACTCAGAATTATTGAATAAGGGCAATCTACAACTGATTCAGTTGGGTTGTTTAACTGATTCAGGTCATTTTCACGCATGTTCCAAATTAAAAGTGTTTCCCATGATACCTTTCGATTAAAGCATTCTTCCATCATAGTTCTTTACCGTCATCAGTGCTGTGAACAATACTATTTAGTATAATAACATATACATCCATGATCCCAGATTGTTACTTTAACCTACCATTAGCCCACACACTTTTGTACCAGTTCTATATATTTAAAACCAATAACATGAGATGCACAGAAAATAATCGCAGAGAACAAAATCAGTTGTACATTGCCCGTAGTAGTATTATTTCAACCTCAAGAAATTAAATGAATAGCCTAAGTGTAAGCTTATAGGCACCGGAACAGACAATAAAATTCTAAGATGCCAGCCAGATCAAATGTAGTGGTAGGCTAGGCTCAATAAATAAACCTCAAGATGAAACACTAAATCGAAAAAATGACCATCCTTCAGAACCTCCCCAAACAAAGTGCAAGACACCGATTCTCGTATCTGACCCAATGTATTCAAGAATTAAAGCTAAACATGAGTAAACAAAGTACTACCTTTCTTTACTGTAACAGATGGAATACGCCAAATATCCCACAGTTCTTTGCGGGTAAAATCTGAATCTTATACAACATAATCCAAAAATCTTCCAGAAAATACTGAAAGTGCCTGTCATCCCAGTTGCATGTCATTTTGAATGCAATCTTTATTTTGGGCTGTCATCTCAGTCTGTTGTACCCATTATCTTAACTTTCCAATCAGATACAAAGTGATGTTAATTCACAAGTCAATCAAATTTTCAGTTGATGACTCATGGTCATTGGAAAAAATAAACTGCGTCAAATCAGGAAAAGTGAACATATTTGTTTTTTACATCATGAAATAATGATAAATAGTATTAATAGAGAAAAGAAGCTTTCTAATTGTGTTACTTGTTACATGAATATTTTCATTATAATGTAATCTGCATAGTATTTCAACATTATTCTTCCAGGATGCAGATCTAGGTGCATTGAGATTGGCTGTTTTGGCTTCTATGAAAGCTGTAAGTATTGATTTCAATATGAAGAGTAGTTAACCAATTAGCCGAATGGCCGTAACCAGTGAGTTCAAGGTTTACCCCTTCCGATGAAAAAAATTATATGAAAATACATTGTTCATCATTATTTTGGCTTGACCATATGCCTCGTTTGGCAGGTTGATATATATTCAAAGTCGCACCTCCCCCTGAAAATATTTGGTTTGGGCCCTTGATTGTCAAACATGTACAGGAAATGCAAATACAGGTGACACAATTCAACCTATGAATGGATGCACACACGATGTATGTCTTGTAAAATGTATTAGCTTTGATATTTACAAATAGTGACTTGTATTTTGTGTCCCATCCTGTATGTCTTTCATGCATGTGCAGAATATTCTTTGACAGCAACTTCATATATTATGTCACTTTAGTAATTCTCTTCTTTCACAGTGATTTTTTTTTTCCCTCAGTTTATTTGTCACACTAATGTTTTTATGGTCTAATTATTGACTATTATCCCACGGTTATTGTATTATCTTTACAATAACAGCCATTGAGTCATAAGAATGATATCACTCAAAGTGATCTAATAATTCTATATCTATTGTACCTGTATTTCAGAAGAAGAAAGAGACAGTTGAACAAGAAGATGATGATGACTTGGCAGCTCTCAGGGAAGCTGCTCTTAAGTCAAAGAAAGAAAAAGAGAAATCTCTGTCCAAAGTATGTTGAGGCATTTTCTCCTTCATTGGAATTTAGTTTTTAATACATCGCTTTATAGGTGGTGTCCAAATAAACAAAGATAGGTAGATTGATTTTCAGCCTGGAATGTAATGATCTTTTATTCAAAATACTGAAGTTTGAATAATAAAAAAACAACATTTTGTTTTTCCATTATTTCAGGAGACCAATTTAATTGGCGCTCATAATCCTTCACCTCGTCCAAGTGAGGTTTCACCCCAATCTCGTGAAGCTTCACCCCACTCGCGGGAACCTTCACCTCGACCTCGTAGATATGCTCCAACAGGTCGTCCTGGCATTCCTATAGTCCCACCTCCTGGGGAGGATTATCGCCCACCTCCATCTCGCTCGGGGCCTGGCCCTGTATTGAGACAGGAAAATAAGCCCCACTATAGACAGGAAGTGACGCCACGTCATGGGCCTCCCTACAGGCAGGACATGGCAGCACGCCAACCCCCTCCATACAGACGAGAAGTGCCATCACGCTCAGGTTTTAAACAGGAACTGCCATCACGCCAAGGTCCTGCTTACAGAAGAGGAGTGCCATCACGTAAAGTTCCTCCCCATAGACAAGAAAATACATCACGCCCAGAAACAAACTTCAAACAGGATGTGAAGCCACATTCTCCTTTGAGGTCACAGCCAGCTACAAAACAGCCAAACCCAGTCCTTAAACAGCAAGCAACATCATTAAGAGATGACAAAGCCAAACCAGCACTAATACGTCCACAAGATAAATGGCTAGAGGACACAGTGGGTTCATCTCAATCGCCGCAAAAAACTAAAGTGAAGAGTAAGTGTGTGAATCCAATAGATTTCACCAACATTTTAAAACTGTCAGTGTATTGTAAGCTGCTATGAGCTTATAAGTGAATTTGTAATGAGGGATTCAAGTGAATTTTCAAGCATTAATTTAAAACTATTTTAAAATCACTTGAATATTTTATTTGCAGGTAAATTTGACCGCTTTGAATCAAGTTCTGACAGTGATAGTTCCTCTGACAGTTCAAGTGACTCCGATGACAATGCTTTACCAGTGAAACCTGACACTAGTGAGTCCGAGCATTCAGATAATGACAAGAAAGCAGAACCTGAAGTAGAGGGTGATACAAACAATGCACGTGATGATACTCTTGATGATAGTCTCAATATAGATGGTGTATTGAACTTACTGGATAATTCATTAAATTCTATTTTTAACTTAGATAATCCAGTGAAAGATTTAAAAGACAGTGTTGAAGTTAAAAAAGATACTGATGTTAAAAAAGACAGTGATTCTGATTGGTCAGAATCTGGACGCTTAAAGTCTAAAAAATCATCAAATGACTCTGGAGCATTGGCCAACAAGACCGATCCTCAGACAAACATAGCAGATAAGGAAAAAATTAAAAAATTGAAGAAAAAGAGGAAAAAGAAAGACAAGAAAAAACATAAAAAAGAAATAGACAGTCTCGATCAAGATTCTATTAAAGAGGATCCTAGTATTATAGCAAACCAATCTAAGGAGGCCTCACTAAGTTCCCTCCATGATGGTAATGAACCAAAAGCATTACTTGCCAAACGTAAAAGAACTGAATGGGATACTAGTTCAGATGATGATCTGAACAAACACACTCATATAAAAGCAAGTGACAAAAAAGCAAGTGACAAATATAATGGAAGTAAAAATCCTAATATTCTTGAAGATAGTGATAGTGATTCTGAATCGGAATCTAGCCGATTTAAACAAGTTAATAAGAATCCATCTCAACATATAAAAATTGGATATATTAATAACAAAATCAACTTGAAGAAAGGTGCAGGTTTTAAGGCAATAGACAGTAGCTTAGACAATGTGTTGCAAGACACCAACAGAAGAGGAGGAAGGAGAGAAAGAGGAGGGCGTACAAGGGATAGAGTTAGGGGAGGGGGGAGACAGACCAATGTATTACCCAATGTGAATGTTGATCCTGAATGGGATGCAAGATCATATGCTCCTGATGGTAACAAGATTGGATATGCTCCTTGTAGTAATAGGAAGACTGAACAATGGGAGTCAGAATCTGACACTGAGGACAATGCTACCAGCAAGTTAAGTGCTGTATCCTCTGTCTTGAAGCGTAACAGCCAACAGCCACATTCAAGTGGATCGCGAGACTGTAGCCCCTTAAGACCAGTGTTAAGACAGAGAGGTGGGGGAGGCAGGGAGAGAGGGAGATCCCTGTCTCCCAGTAGGAATATAAGATCCAGACTGGGACCATCTGAAGGTTCCCCTCATAGGTCACCATCTAGCAATCTACCTGATATGAAAGATTCACCTTCAAAAATTTCCATAAGATCTCGATTAGGAATTGAAACTAAATCCTCAAAAATCTCACTGAATAAAACCTCAGATAAGGCAGGGTCTCAGGAAAAAAGTGCACCTAAAATAACATTTGTGTCTTCATCTGAATCAAAAGATAAACATTTAAGTCAGGATAAACATGTTGTTCAAACTGACAGTGAAAGTGATGATCAATCAGATGCAAGAACATTGATTCAGAAACTGAAAACTAAAAATAAAAAGCATAAAAGCAGATCTAAGTCAAAATCTCGGAGTACTAGTCCAACCATTCAAATCACATTTAACAGAGGTGAGGACACAAAATTATATTAATCAATTTGTGATAATTCCACACTACCAGCAATCCTTGGTGAAATACAATTGGATGATATACTCCAGTTTTATTTTTGCCTTGAAAGTAATCTTCATCAGCTAAACTTCTCTCAAATACTACAAATTATAAATTACTTACTCTAACGAGATCTTTATAATCTTAAATGTAACTTCCATGGATAAAATAGTATTGGCAACTTTTAAACTTAAGTGTCATGCACTGTTGAACGAGACTTATTTTTTATTCTGATTTGTTATCTTTCAGATGCTGGTAATTCAAGCAGCAAAAAGTCCGTGAAATCTCGCTTGGGGCGCTCCATTCACGAACGTCTGGGCCTTCCTATTATGAAGCAAGATAGTGACTCTCTATTGGACAACTTGCATAAGAAAAATAAAAAGCACATTGATATCAACTTGCAATATAACTCAAACAATGACTATAGTAAAATTGAGAAGCGGGATAGGGAACAAGGAAATGAGGAAACTGCTCCGAAAAGGTTGAAATTATCTAATTCCAGTCGTCTTAGGAAACGAAGAACATCAGATGACAGGAGATCAAGATCTCCGTCTCCTCCTGGTAAATAACTATTTGAACACCTTTCTTGAATGTTTCATTCATTATTTCTGCATACATGATATTTATTTTGTAGCTTTAAATCACCATAGAGTGGTGTTTGTATGTTTTCAGGTGCAGAAATTTCAAATCGTGCCATTCTTGTTTCTTGGGATCCTAAATATTATGATAATTTTTATTATAGTATTATTCAGTATGTAGCAGGTGTTCAAGAATAATTCTTAAATCATTTGTCTTTTTGATTTCAAGTGTGGTTCTAACACAGGCTGTGTGATACATATGTGCAACTAACAGAAAATTGGGTACTTCTTGTTGTGTTCTACTTCCCACAAAATTGGCCAAAGAGCAAAATGAGCATTTCACTTTTAAGTTACAGACAAGACTGATGTGTGACACACTCCTCCCTCCACAGTTTTTTAATACACTTTGAAAAAGTTCCATTTGTAATTTTTGGATTAATCAGCCATTTTGAATTTTTCAACTTGATCCAAATTGACCAATTTTTATAAATCATCTAAGAGTTCTCAGGAGTTTAAATCTAACCTTAGCTTTGAGATTTGATTGACCTTAAGTGACCTTTGAAAGGTAAAAATAATAATAATTGATTTTTTGATTTCGAGTTAGTCGGGTTAATCTCAAAAGACCAACTGAGGTCTGAAAAGTGATATTTTCGAGGTGAAAGATCAAGGTCATCAAACTAGGTCACAAACAATGTTATTAAGTTTCTTAAAGTTTGAGACTACAAATCAATTCTAATCATTAAAGTTCCAGAAAAACCACTTACTTGTTCAACTTGAATTTTTTACATATGCCAGAGCAGATAAGTGCTAAGATTTCATTTGATTAGGTTTTGACCATGCTGGGTAAATACATGGTGACCATTTTGCTCTTGATATATTTATCACTGGCTGTTTTGTTTCTCTATGTTGTACACCCCTCTTCCTTATAATGTCCCATAGCATCTAATGATTTGTTGTATTCATTATTATCCAAGCATTCACTGTAAAATGTTTCATTTTATAGTTCTGTATTGTCATGTTTTCATCATAGTTCTAGTTTAAAAGATCAGTTTAACACATTTTTACTACCTTAAATAATTTGATTTTTCTTCAGCTTTTTACATTGTACAGTACTGTTATAATTTTAGTCATAATAATGTACATGTAAATCATATAAATCGGACCAAATAGTTGCTCAGTATGAAAATGTGGAGTACAAAACAATAATGGTGACATATATTATGGTGACATATATTTCAGCTACATATAACATATCAGTATATGATGACATATATTTCAATATAAATTATATATATTTCAATTTATTATGACACATATTTTTATGTATTATGGCACATATTCCTATGGTGTATTGTGACACATATTTCATGTAGTGATGACACATATTTCAATGCTTTATATGTGTCTTGTTTGCAGGTGAGGAACTTGAGAACAGAATCCGCAAGATCAAAGTGAAGAATGAAGCAATTATGAGACGAAAACTGGAGATTGACGAAGACAGAAAAAGATATGGCAAATAGTGAACTAATTGGAAGACGTCATCCAGTAAGGCTGAAATCATGGAAAAAACAACATACATGGGTTGTTATTGAAATGTGATGAGTGATTAGTTATAGCAAAGGCTGAATAATAGTGAACTAATTGGAAGACGTCATCCAGTAAGGCTGAAATCATGGAAGAATACAAAATACATGGGTTTTTATTGCAATGTGATGAGTGATTAATTATAGCAAAGGCTGAATAATAGTGAACTAATTGGAAGACGTCATCCAGTAAGGCTGAAATCATGGAAGAATACAAAATACATGGGTTTTTATTGCAATGTGATGAGTGATTAGTTATAGCAAAGGCTGAATAATAGTGAACTAATTGGAAGACGTCATCCAGTAAGGCTGAAATCATGGAAGAATACAACATACGTGGGTTGTTATTGAAATGTGATGAGTGATTAATTATAGCAAAGGCTGAATAATAGTGAACTAATTGGAAGACGTCATCCAGTAAGGCTGAAATCATGGAAGAATACAACATACATGGGTTGTTATTGAAATGTGATGAGTGATTAATTATAGCAAAGGCTGAATAATAGTGAACTAATTGGAAGACGTCATCCAGTAAGGCTGAAATCATGGAAGAATACAAAATACATGGGTTTTTATTGCAATGTGATGAGTGATTAATTATAGCAAAGGCTGAATAATAGTGAACTAATTGGAAGACGTCATCCAGTAAGGCTGAAATCATGGAAGAATACAAAATACATGGGTTTTTATTGCAATGTGATGAGTGATTAATTATAGCAAAGGCTGAATAATAGTGAACTAATTGGAAGACGTCATCCAGTAAGGCTGAAATCATGGAAGAATACAAAATACATGGGTTTTTATTGCAATGTGATGAGTGATTAATTATAGCAAAGGCTGAATATAGCAAACCAGTGACTACTTACCAATGGCAATGCATTGTATTGTATAAAGAAATTGAATAAACTGCATTGAATTATTCTCTGTTCAATATACTTTATTAATATACATGTATTAGACCTAAGATTCTATAATAAATACCAGTTACCCTGGTAACTATGTCATAAGTGCTACATATGATTCATGTGTAAATCAAGCAAAATATCAAAAATTACTTGAAGACTTTCAATGTAATTTATACTATTTTATGAAAAAGGAATAGAAGTTGATGAAAAAACTATGATTAGAATAACAGAATGATTTATGTCCATGTGTTTGCAATATTGTTTTAATTATAATTAATTGTCTTAATTAGTCAAATCTATTCAAGTTCATTAAAGCAGCTTATACATTAAAATGTTTGTGTAGATTATTCATCTTTGTATCACTATAACATTCTCATTGTTAGTTAAATTGCAAGGTAGTGTCTTAGGATTGTTACATAATGTGTATGTAAATCTATATTTTTGTATAGTGAAATGTGATAAAATGCATGAGATGTATTGTTTTACTGTACTGTGAACTATGATAATTGATTATCCATACTGAAATATAGCCTAGCATGGAACTTCAGTGAGACATGTTTAGTTTACTAATGTTATATTACATCTATATCCCAGGGCCTGGAATTTTTTCCAATTATCTGAATAAATTTTGCACCTTTTTTTGTTTTGTCTTGAAGAGATATTCCTGAACTCCTAAAGTTATATACTGGCAATAGGTGGCACCGTGCTATAGCATAAGAGCAATGATTTGACGAGTGTTCAGCTTTAGAACATCACCAGTATTATCGTACTTTTGAAAATGAATTTTTATTTAATTTTGATGGATTTAATGAATTATACCCAGTAATGGCATGTTAAACATATTTTTTGTTGCATTTTGGTACACAATAGCAACATATTAGACGAAAACATACAAAAAAATTAAATTTATTTTTTTGAAAAGCAGAGGTTGGTGACTTATGATTTTTATTTTCTTAAAACAAACTAATTTAATTCAACTTTCCAGCGTGTAAAAATTAAAGAATGTCGATCCGTTTTGGAGATAATAGTCTCTTAAATTCTTAATCCTCTACTCTCCTATTCACTAATATAGTGGATGAAAATGTTTCTAGCTACAACACCAACTTTTCGTTAGATTATGACCTCCGGGTAAACAACTACCTCAATCTAGAAGGTTTAAAATGTAAACAACTACCTTAATCAAGAGGGTTTAAAAATGTGCAACTTGTTTTTAATAGGTGTTTAGACAGAATAGATCATGTGAGAATAAAGATGGCATTCATATAACTTTGGTGAATCCCTCTATCTGTATATCCATTTTCTCTATGATTTCTGAGCCCTCTATGTAAATTGAAGAAATTATTGGCCATGAAGAATTCATAACTTCTCAAATGGCTCTCTGTCATGTTATTCATGCTTAGATTGTTTAAACCACAGTTCAAGTGATATAAGATATAAGGCAGTGATATTTCCCTGTCACTGTCCTACTAAATGGCAAATATTTGACCCCTTTTTTATATCAACCAGAATGTTTTTGAAGTGTGAATGTTTCTTTCACTTCAATGTTTAATATTGTGCCTTAAGAACAACACCCATGTATGAAGTCTAACAACAGAATGAGAAACATCACAATGAATAATGAAACAAATATTTCTCATTTCTAGGAATACCTGTGTCACTTTCAAAAGTAATATTCTTTATAAACAGCCATGTTAAATTCATCTAAGGACTTGGAAAGATTAATATTTGGGCAAGGAAGTTCAGGTCATCCAAAACATCAATATATAGGACTTTTAAGTTTTAGAAGAGTAATGCATGTTTAAGATGAGGCTTTTAACCATATTTAGTTTTCCTAAATTGAGGGTCCCATATCAAGTTCAAATTCATTTGAAAAGTCAGTTATGAGTATTTATTTATTTTTGATTTGACTGTTCCAGAAATCTGCCATTACTCCAAAGGGTAATCTATTATCCCACCAACAAAGTTCATAGGGATATAAAAAAGCTGTCCATCCATTTGTTTAGTATGCACATAGCATTGGTAAGAGGCCACTACTCAAAGAGTACTCTTAATATCCCACTGAACAAAGTTTGTCGGGATATAGAAAAGCTGTCCATTCGTTTGTTTAGTATGCATTACTCAAAGGGTAATCTATTATCCCACCGAACAAAGTTTGTAGGGATATAGGTAAGCCGTCCATTTGTTAGTATGCACGTAGTATTGGTGAGAGGGGGAGTACCCCAGACTTCAATGGAGAGTGTAAACAATTCTTTTAAAAAAACACTTTGAAAAATGTTTATTTCTGGCATGTTTACCAAAATTATCTTGTTATATTACGTCAAAAAAAGAAAGAGGTAAGGAATATGTTAACATTCATTAATACACCATATCGAGGTTTGGTATTCAGAAACCAGATTGTGGAAATTCAGACAAATGAAGGTGGTCAACAGTCATCTCTAAAGCTCTGGGGTTTTCCCTCCTTTTGAGTATTTGTCAATAAAACAGATGGCATTGTAAATCACCAAGAGAATGTTATGAGCTTTACACATTTTTTTATTCATACTTTATATTGACATAATAATTGCCCAGGTGGGCTTTCTTGGCAAAAAACTATAATGCAGTTTAAATTATGAGTTCAGTCACATAATGACAAACTGAGCATTTTTGCGAATTATTCAGGATCACCCACTCCATTTTGGAATTTTGTATTGATTGAAAGGAAAACAACAATTATGACATAAACTTCTTGCTATGTAGTCACTAAATAATAAATATGGACTTCAAGCAATAAAACACATAAGTCTAAAGTATTATGTCTATACAAATAGATTAAGATTGCTGCTTTAGAAACTTGTATTCACTTGAAATTACACACAGGCAAAGTGAATTAGCCAATATAACACAGTATTGAATACCAATCAATTAGATTACTGCTTGGGAGAAGATAATTACAACTTTCCATTTCCCAAAACTGAAACTTGAAATGAAAGAAATTGCAGAAGCCATGGATGCAGTTTCAGTTGTATTCTTTCTAACTTCCATCCTCCGGTCCAAATCACTTTTTATGAGTCAACCAAACCTAAGAAATAAGCAATCAAGGGACCCCAGTGTAATATTATATGGAAATAAATATAAGCCTTTGAATATTTAAGATAATTACTTTCATGTACAGAAACCTGTGGCCTCTTGTAATTTAGGGAGTTACAAAAAGTAACATGTCAAAGGAGCTAAATACGAGAGGCTAAACCGAGGGAATCCAAATTACAGAAACACTCAAACATGAACATATTTTTACACATATAGTATTGCACTGAGGTATTTTGCATTGCTTATTTTCTAAGTTTGAAAGACTTACATTTTCTTGGACAGAAGAGTGGGCTAAATTCTGCAATTATAATTTACTTTTCTAAATATGACTCCAATGGTTTGTGTAATTGAAAGCATACATGAACTTGTCAAGCTAATGTTCATTACTAACAAGATACTTTAAGACATAACATTCTTATACAAAAAAAGAAACCAACAATTCAACAATGTGGAGAATAAAAAATAAATTGCTGGACATCTCTAATTCTTCAATACAATTGCTTTGTCGTGGTACTGAACCGTGTCAATACAACGGCTGTCAATATTACATATATGATTATGGATAATCAACGGTCAATGATGGTGAAACAAGGACATATCTAATGTCTTTAACAAATGAATTATAAAATGTAAACAGTATGTAACAGTCAAGTGATTAACTGCTTCATGTATATACATGTATTTTATCAAACATAAGAAAACATTGTCTATAATTGACATAACATAACATCTGATATCATACATTATATCAACACTCAAGAATAACTTAATTTGTTCAGCATGAAAATTGCTTCAGATTACGCCTATACAATCCCTTGTTCCCATTCAGGGAGATAGATGGGAGATGCACAATATCAGGAATTCATTTGTACAGCATCTACATTCAGTACCAATGTGATCACTTGTTATATCAAATCACTCTTGGGATTCACACAAGGCCAAATAACTACATTTTTACAGTTAAATCAAATTCTGTGCTGACTAATGTAATTTGTTCAAAAAAGTGAAATCTGACTAATGCAATTTGTTCTGTGAAAAAATGACACAGTGATATCTGACCTGAACCCATAAGAGCAATATTATAAACTGAATAGGAATCTCAGTCTTGCATCAAAGCTCCGATTAACCCCCCCCCCCCTAACTTAAATGGGTTTGAAGCAGGGAGAGGGTGATAGCTCATGAATTTGATACAAGACTTGATACTTTCCATGTATATGATCTTCAATATCAAAGAATATCCTTTATTTATGAAAAGTCTCCCTGTTTAGACACCTATTTAGGATCAATTTTTCAATTTCAAGTACTTTTAAATAAGAGATAAATTCACTACTCATTTTTCATTGAAAGCAATATATTGTTTTTCAATTTGACTGTACTAGCTTCCCATCACTACAATGTTTTAGTCAACAAATATCCATATCTCTGTTGGAATGACTGTTTCTAGTGTATGTGTTGAGGTATCTCAATTAGTGAGCCTTCTTATGATGAACCAAGCAATGACAATGAAGGCTTTCTATCTTTTGATCCACTACGACTTGAGTTACTTTGTCTGGAGCTTGAGGACCCCTTGCGCTCCTTTAAAGATAGAGAGCTGCTTGAAGATCCCTTACGCTCTTTAACACTGAGTAATGAAGGACTCTGACTGGATCCCTTACGGTCTTTATGCTTTAAGCTGTTTAGTGTGTCCTCCCTCTCTTGTGCATGCTCCTTGCCTACCTTGGTAGCAGCTGCTGTTGCCACTAAGTCAATAAGAGTGTATTCTATAGAGTCATTACGTGGTGCTGGCTTACGTATCACTTTCTTAGTGCTACTTGAGCTCTGTGTCAGGTCAATCTCAGCATAGTTGAGCAGTGGGTTACTAATCTCAGACAATGCAGGGCTAGTTGACATGTAAGAGGGTGTCCTAGGGGTGTGGGGAGGGCTAAAGTCAGTGTTCATATACAGAGACATGGGAGACTCTGCTTTACCTGAGTTGAAGGCCATGTTCACGTAAGTGGGCTCTGTGCGAGGGTACTGTAGGCAGGGAGATCGCGGGGATTCCCCTGTTGTCTGGTTACTTAGTGAACTAACAAAGCTCATACTGGAAGGAGAGCTTGGCTGGGGTAGGTCGAAACTGAACACAGAGTCACAAGGAGAATGAGGTGAATATTTAGAATGGCTTTCACCTCTGTTTTTATATACAGATCTCTCCACTTTCTGATAGTCTTTTCCAAAACGTGGTCGTAAAGTTGTTTGGGCAAGGCTCTGTTTCTCTTCAGTGTTGTTGCTTATATATGAGGCTGGAGAATCTGCACTCATGTCCATGTGATGACTGTAGACATTGCGGGGTGGAGGGGTGTGCTCTTCTACATCATGGCTTGAACCTGGAATCACACATGAGAAATATATCAATAATCCATGAAAGACATACTAACAAACAAAGTGCATGAAGACAACATGCATGTATTTCAAAATATTACGACTGTATCAGATGACAATCGGCAGCAATACTACAATCATCAGCAAATTAGCAGAAATTCTACAATCACCAGTAATTCTAAAATAAACAACAGTTGTACAATTATAAGCTATTTTACAATCGCCTTTATCAATCATCATCAATGCTATTATCACCTGCTATTTTATAATGATCTGCAATTCTACAATCATCAGCTATAGAATTATCCTACAGTTGAAAGTCATTAGCGTTATCGGAGTCATCAGCAGTAACATAATACCTAGTATGCTGACAACCCCTAAAATCTGACAGTACTACAACCACTAACCTGAGTCTGAACTTAAAGAACGTCCTCTCTGTAGTTTCAAAGAGGAGGTTCTTCTACAAAGATGTCTATTTGAGTTTTTTCTCAGCTTTGGTTTTGTAAGATCAGAGCCCATCTTGACATGAATGAACACTGAACACTGATAATACGTCAATTGCCTTAAACCATGCCACATAGATTGGATCTCTATAGAATTATTGCATCCATACAATAATATCCACAAGTAATGTAATAATTATGCCTTTGATATTCTACATGATGCGCACTTCAAATATTCTTTTACTCCTATATGCATAACATATCACAGATTACTATCCAGAAATGGAGGAGTCCGTTTAACCTTATAACATATCCTTGAATATACAATAGTACATTTACAGTAAGCAGTCACTTGAGCCAATTATTTCTTGAACCTTCTTAACATTTCAAGTCCAGAACTGAATTCTAAATTGAACTTTACACAACAACATGTATATATAAAAAAATGAAGCCATGTTTATTTTATTACTTAACTCTTCGTGTTTTAATAATTAAGAAGAGAGATATTATACTGTAGATCATAATGATAACAATAAAGGATTAAAACACTTTATTGTTTAAAAAACAAATGGATTAAAGCCTGATCTATTGTTTGATGCTGTGAAATCAAGGAGTTTGATTGCATTGTCAATTACCAGGTTTACAGGCTGATCAATGAGCTTAAGTAAACATACATAGGGAAATATTTTATCTGATCCAGGTCATATCTATCAACTGTTTTTTTCAAGTTTTGGTATGTTTATGTAATACTTTATTAATAACTATTTTATAATGCAGATAAACTGCCATTTTTAAATCATCATTTTGGATAATTAAAATATTGATCTTGTAACTTTATTGTTGTGTCCCCTTACATGGTTACTAGAATATCAACTAGATAACGGCAACTCCGCGGAGTAGCAAATCCCAACGAACAAAATATCAATTACCGAATTCCAATCAATTATACTCATTACTTTGGTTGAAAATGAAAAAATTAGATTTTAGAATTGCGAATTCCTGCAAAGCAACCATTTTGAATTTTCTGAGGTACAAATCTGAAAAATAATACCATAATTGTGATCTACTCAAAAATTCCTTCAATTTGAGTATAATATAGCCATACTTTGAAGGGATCGAAAAATTATTGCGAAATCGTACACTAGACGGCCATTTTGAATTTTACGAGGCTCGAATCAGAAAAAGATACAATATTTGCAATCTACTCTTAATTGCCTTTCATTTGAGTATAATAAAGCTATACTTCAGAAAGATCTAAAAATTAGCGAAAATTTCTGTTTTCCTGTCCCCCCATACATGGCCCCTGTGGGTCAGGATGAAAAACACGGAATATATGTGAAATAGATAAATGTTGTGAATACACTACCAAAATTTCAAACAATAATATTAATTACTTTGGTTTAGAATGAAAAATTTATGATTTTTGCGAAAAAGTCCCGTCATTTTTAAAGCGGCGGCCATCTTGAAAAAAAAAATTTTTGCGTAAAACTATTTACCAATATACATCTTTCCACTAAATATGAAGAAAATCTGTCAACTAGTATTTGAGTTATCTTCCGGACAGACGGACGGACTGACTGACTGACTGACTGACGGACTGACGGACAGACGGACGGACGGAGGGCTTCACTATATCCCTAACGAACTTCGTTCGTTGGGATAATTAATATCTAGACATCTGGTCTGTATGATATCAGATATCATCCCAATATCAACCTTGAAAACTACTGAACATTTGGTACTGTTTGCATACATTGTATTTTTAAATCACAAATGAATAAATCAATACAATATTTCTCAGTCAATATAATTCAGTTTGTTTTTTCCTTTTTATTCCCCTGAAAAATCTTAGTATTAATGGAATAAATCTGAATATACTAACAACATACACTTAAAATAAATAATGCAGATTAAATTGCTGATCTGGAAGGCAACACCTCAGAATAATCTATAATCCGATTCTTAAAACATAGAAGACTTCTACCTCACATTAACTCCAATAAATCAGTCAATTATTGGCATAATGAAAGCACCTTGCTGGGCATTTATACAAAATTGATGGAGGTTTAATGAGGTTATTCTCCAAATCATTAATCAATTTACTTTGTGATACCTTTCCAAGCAGGCAAAATGGTAAAGTGCCTTTCTAGACACATGTTTCATTGAAACTGAACTTAACTTGGTAGGGCTGATACAATTGTTTATCTTCAACTTGGGCATGCATATTGGCTGTTGAGCACCTCTTCAAAGAAATGTGTAGTGAACATTGCTTGTGCACTTGAACTAAATTAGAAAATCTGCAACATTTTGCTAAATCATGGGCTTTCAATTAGAGTTGTGAAAGCCCATAGCTAAATGCATCCGTGCCTATGGGAATGACATGCTGCTAGCAGTAGATTTAGGTATAGTAATTTTAGACAATGCGTTCATTTATCTTGACAATGAGATGCATAACCGCATATTTGAAGAACGAAGTACAAGTGAAGTCATGCATAGCGGGAGATGAGTTTCCGAAAATAGGTAATTTAACTCAATTATCATGTGAATATTCATTTCTCCCAAGTTTAAAACCCACAAAATGTAGACTTATCAAGCAGAATGATAAGAAAATATGACATTCGCTTGATTTGCTTATTATATCTCGGAAACTTGCAAGAGTTCTTACGCATTCGAACGGGCGCCATATTGGAAAACAAAATATCACTAAACAAACCTTTCCACAGGTTACATAATGCAAGTTAGTTCATTATGCTGTTAGACTTTCAAATGAGATGGAATATGAGTTAGCCAGATATAATTTTATTTAATTATCTTGAGACCTGTCTGCTAACAATAATGTAACATAGACATTGTAGAACAGAAAAGCGGAGAAAGTCTCATATCATGTTAAGATTCATTTTGTCTAAATAACATCTTTTCTTATCTTGACAAATGGCAAACATCAAAAAGATGCTATTTATCAATTTATAATTTATCTGTGAGTTGATATATACTACACAGTACACATATATGAAATCCATATGCAACTTAAAAAGTAAAGAAGGCAACAGATAGTAATGAAATAGTTAAAGCTGCTGTAATAAGTTTCGTGAAATATCACCACACAATAATAGAATTCAGGAAATTTTATTAGATCAGGGGACATCCTAATAAACGAACATAGATTCAAGTCGTTTATAAAGCATGAAAGACTAAATTTAGTCTTCTTCAAGAACAAAATGTGATTTTATAAAATGATCATGGTATCTACATTTCACATCTAACAATAAGGTGGTATAATGACACACCTTAAACCATAATCACATAGTCTTGACAAAAATTCCCACACACTTTAATTTATTTGTTTAAAATATTGAGATGCTCTAGCACTCCTGGCTACTGATATGCTTCATTACCAATATCACTCCTCAGTCTTTCAGCGATTACATTGAAGCAGTTATACAAAGAGTTAGTCCAATCTGAGTTCATCAGGGTTCCCCCATAATACAACAATAAACCATGGCATCTTATTTCTTCTCAGCCATGTTTTAAGTGAAACAGGAAGAGGTGATGAGTATCAAAATGGTCTCCTTTGGCATTTCTTGAAATATATAGTCACACTTTAATCATCATTTATTGAAAGGAGGTAGTATAAATTGTCAACATTGGGTGATTGTCTGCTGTATAATAGTGATCATTGTTACTGTTGAGCATGATAGATGGTCGGATCAGCTGGTATGCCTTTTACATTATAACCAAGATGGTCATCTGAGGCCAATATGCTCCAGCATGGGGATTCATTAGATTGAAAACAACAGGCAAAACTATTGGAAATTATAACAATGCATAGAAACAGAGGTGAACTCATTGAAATAACAAGAAGAGAAAATCACCTGCTACTAATGAAACCTGGATGATTAGAGTAATATTTGTCCATACAAATCCTTCCTCCCTCAACTAACTTGTATAAGGAGTAAGAGGCTTATGCCAAGAGCATCAAATCAATCAATCTTTTTCTAACTGAATAATGAAAACTTTTTACCCAAATGAGCTAAAAACCAGCTGGACATTTTTATAATTTGCTGCTACTGTACATAAATGGTCAGAGGCACTGAAAATGTACATATTGAATCACTTTGAATATCAAACAAACTCAAAATGCATCACTCTTGATTCCTTCCAGAATCCTGACATATTTATTGCCACTTAGCAAATCTATACTATACTTTGCTAGCATGGAATCAGTTAACATTGTGATATAACAAAGAAATGAAATTACAATGTTATAAAGACAAATGAATGTCCCAGTTCCATTTATTAAGAGACAATCAACGTTGAATTGAAAACATAGCTGTTATCCTATGAGATTATATGTAGGCGTGGATGACTAATTCATTTATACAGAAGTAACTATTTGCCTACATATAGTCTTATTAGATTATGAAGGTGTACACAGCCATGGTATTCAACTTATTTATTATAGTTACTGTAAATTGCTTAAATTTGATGGCCATTTTTATTTGGGTGGATTGATAAAAAATCTCTCCGCCAATTTTTTGAAAATGAAATTCCCGGGGATTTTC